AACACACACCACTTTTTACTATAACAATTCACAATCTTTTCAAGTATCTATAAACAATATTAGTTAATAGCTTGACATTAATGCTCTTTAAATATTCCGAAAGCCCTAGAAATCTAGAATCTCCACAATAAACACAAACGTGTCTTGCCCGATTTCACCAATATCACTTAAGCTACCACCTTATAGCGTATGGGATCCCTAGTTTAAAAGTTCCCCTAAACTAGGTCGTAAATTAAATTTCGTTTTACCATCGTCAGTGTCCGTATTTCTAGTACCTATATTTAGGAGGCATTTTAACATTTAAGTGACCCCTAACTGTCGGTGAAACAGAAACTGTCCCCTAATAGCCCCCTAACCCTGCTTAGGGGATCCCTTAAACTTAGGTGACGTTGGTGAAATCGGCCATTAGGCTTGTTAAACCCATAAACAGGCCAAGTAAATAGAACATTCCAATTTGTTTGATCTTATTGTATACAAACAAATAAATCGTTTCGCATTTATACTGTAAAGTTGTTAGTTAATTGTTGTGTCTGGTGCTTGTTAGTGGTTATAGTTACAAAATGCCGTTATGAAAGATTTCCTTTTCGAGTAGGCAGTTGGGACAATCATGTCGCAAATAGATATATTCGGGATTATATTATCTTTAATGGTTACCAGTTGTCGTTTGTATTTAATAAGGACATTCTTAATAGAATGCTGTTAGTTGTAACTACAAACAGATTTGTGAAGGTTTGTGTTTCAAGTGACTTGGAATAAAAATATTTTTTCGAAAGCAATGCATGAAGTTAAGAATTCTTCATCAAGTTGTCGTAAACATTGTATGAAATGAATTGAACAAGTAATTTTAGTAATTTATTTTTACGTAAATGCTAAAGGGTGTCTGTTGATATGTTCTGATTTCACGCATAGGATACGATATTTTTGTATACCTACCTAGTTAATATTGGCGAGTGCTATAGACATTTTTATCTCGATACATCAAGTGATTACCGTGTTCCTAACATTATTGTAATTAATATTACAATAATGTTAGGAACCTAAAGTTTTATTTTTAGTTTTCCTTAAAAAAATCCTAAAACTAATTTATACATTTACTGACTTGTTAAATGGACAAGTTAAAAATGCCAAGTCACATATCTAATAAAGCGCAGCGATAATAACCTAGTGCAGTGACAGGACCGACTACGACATAACGATAAATCGCAAATCGTAGATTTTATCGTAAAACCTTGTCGACACGCAACGCGGACAGTTACTTGCGACCTCAGATGTGTAGAACAAATAATAAACGCCAGTCATAAAGTAAACGTGTTCCATAATATTTTAAATTTTCAATTCACGATATTTGCTCATTGCGTTTGGACAGCTGTCGTCTGGTAGTGAGAAAATATTGCAACATTATTCTACAAAATAAACTTCCAAATGTTATTCATTACTTTGAGAGTAATATGGACAAATCGTTTTACGAACCGATATTATAAACGACAAACTTATTTAATAAACTAATCTAAGTCAATTAGCTAATAAGTTTTAACTGCAATTATAACTAAAAGTAAATTGTTTTTATCTTTTAATATAATACTAGGAAAATTAAACTTGATACAGCACTAGATAATACATTTTAAATCCAATCAATATTATTATTCTTAAGAAAAGCAACAAATCGAAACGATATTGTTTCGAATAAATAACTCAAAAGCATCATTTTTTGCTCTAATAACATCTCTTGGCACAACTAGCATCAGTTCAAGCAGAGTTCTCCGACTGCGCGTCAACTCTATTAAATAAGTCGTTCACCTCTTATAAAATATTTTTATTTTCTTCTATAGTTTCTAAGCTTCGGGGCAAAAACTTGACTCTGAATTGCAAAGAAACTTCATTGGTGAGGCAAATGATTAACCAGTATCTGTCTACTGTTTCCGTTTGTAGCAAGTTTTATTCGATATCGATATTAATAATTTTAATAGCAATCTTTACGAATGACTAAAAAATTGAAATTCTCAAAGCTAAAAAAGTTTATTTTAAATTATTATTCTAAATTAGAAAAATAAATAAATGAAACCAATAAAAAATATATCATGGATTCTAAATAATGTTGTCATCATAATTAAAAAAATAAAACAAAATAGCTTAACAGTCTTGATATGAAATTATCTTATTAATAGACATTGAATGGAGTTCTTTGTCCTGTAGTTAACAGAGTTGTATTAAATTGTAGTTATGTTTACCTCATCTATTTACGCGACAGTGTTGGTGACGGGGTGCGTCGCACTCTGTGGATAGACGACCTCGGCAAACATCGGGTCAAGGACATAGGAAATACCAAACATTACCGATAGTTAGTATAAACAGCGTAAGACAATAATTATCTATCACCGTTATTGCGAAGTTAAATTACATGTTGAGTCAATGATCTCGAGGATACGCTTCAAGAGGCTGTAAATCTTTCTAAATTTATTACTTATGGAGAAGAGAATCTTAAAGCAAAAGTAGTTGTTAATAATAAAAGTTATATATAGCTTTCAATTATCAATTTCATTAGAAACTTATAAATTATAATGTAGACTAAACGTAAATATAATACCGTAAAAAATCTAAATAAGAATTAAAGTAGAACGAAAATTGAAAATTTTAATTAAATACAAAGTGCACCTGCCTTTTTGATACAAGTATTAGCGCAATGCATGGTACGATGTTGACGTCACGCTGATAGTGCGTGACCTTAAGATAGTTATCGGTCGACGCCTCGTCTCGCGTCCATCGACAACTTGAAAACCACAAGGACATCATTTAATCAAGCCTATAATTATACATTTAACGTATTTACTGTTTACACTTAAAATGACACTAAATTATGTATACGAGATGAACATTTTTTAAAATTATTATAGCTTGCGTGTCCTTACTTGGAACAATAATATGATTTTTATTATAATTGCTAATTAATATATATATTTTATACACATAAATTATCAAGAAACCGCAAAATATAATAAATAAAGCGAAAATTTTCCACGTTGCGTTGCGCGCTAATTCACATAATACTGGACAGACAAAGATCGTCTGACGTACAAATAACCGTTCGGCCTTGTCTAGGCCGCGATGACGCCATTCTGCGAATATACTTAGTACGCCGAAATTATGCGTGCATCCTGCTTACACATCACTGTATCATCAACATATGAAAGAGACGACAAGTATAATCAAAATTCACGTTGATGTACTTTTTATTTTTTTATTTGACGAAATAAAGCAAGTCAATTTATTCTAAGCTTTAAAGTTCTAAGGAGGTGTTAATCGTTCGGAAGTGGAACCATAATTATCAAGTCTAATAATTTGATAGAGTGCTTAAATATAATCGTCTAGCCTTAAAACGTTTGGCGTATAACTTAGCCATAATATCGGCTCATATGAGGACAATGTCTGAAAAAAAAGCTAACATTTCGTTAACCGGGTTCAGCTTTATAAGTTCATCTAAATCAAAACCTGTGGAGAAATATCACTGTATATGGAATTAGCGGAACCATTATTTGGATGAAAGTTGTTATCTGCCAATCGTTTCCTAACAGTGTCTACAGCAACGCCTAATGTAAGGCTTGCATTGTGTAATTGGCAATTACCGGAGTTACCAAGGCAACGGCTGTCTGATAGCGATCGCCGAGAAATGTTGGGGGGCAAGGGACTCTATTGGAGTTTAATTGGTTCGCCAGACGGTCTTCACTTCTTAATATCTAGGCATCCTTCTTGTTCATTCAACTTTTACTTAAAGTTGATTAGGTACAAAATTTCTAATATATTTTATCACTCATTGTCTTGCATACCATGTCCTTACCTTTCAAAGCTCATGAGAAAAACCTAATTATTTTTTTTACTATAATAAATAAACAATTAAAGTAAATTTTCTAAGTAAGATAAATAATTCCTAGCAAAGTTTTGTAAGTTTAACTACATAATACACTCATCTAAGTTATCACAGTGGAGTGACTAGTGTATTGGGAGCGGCGGACCAGTTCGCGCGAAAGGCGAAATGCTCGCGACCGCCCGGCTTACAAGTTACAACCGGCTCCGTGAAGGCCGATCCCCCCACTCGCCTCCTTCGCTAGTGACTGCTGTTTTGTCGACAATACTATTTTAACACTATTCCACACCTATTAAACAACGATTGTATATCTAAAATACCATTGTCCTCTACTACGTTGAAGAAATAAAGTTTAAAAGTATAATTTTCACAACAAAGACATAGAATATGTATGGTCGAGGCAACAAAGCAATATTGGAAATTTTACTTTCAAATTCATTCAGCAAGCGCTGACGATGTCATGTTATCGCGTCTGCTTCTCGCAGTGAACGTTGTAAACAAAATGCCAATGACACGGAGGTCGACCGTTCTATCGATAATTTAGTGCGGTTATCATACAGCACTGGGTGCGTCGCAAGGCCGCGACTCGACGGCCCTACGCGTGTCGTCGCGTACGTGTACACAAACACATCGTTTTGAAGCGACAGCTTTATTTCGACTCTCAATTGGACGCAAAATTTGTTGCGTATTTGTAGAAATGTGCTTAACGTAACTTAAGTATTACTTAAAATATATGAATCAGTTTAAAATACTAATTTTTACAACAAGATTACTCATGTCTTTTATCTCTTTTTTTACAGATAAACAAGATGCTGGTATTATCGAGTCCATTTCGATATCAAGCAACGAAACAAAAAAACTCTCTTTATTCCGACACAGACGGACCAAGATTATGCGAATACATTTCAGTATTCTACCGGGATTTACCAAGACTGACTCCCTCTGATGCCTTAAAAATGACAAGCGATGCAAGATGATTAAATAAATAATATTTTTGTGATAAATGATGTTAGAAAGGCATTTATAAATATTTCTGTGTATTTTTGGAAATTTTTAATAGACTATGCTTGGATGGTGCTTAATAGTGTAGTGAGGCGAATTAAAACTATCGATAATTTGTGGATTTTTTACGAATACCGCTATGTTGAATGAGGGGGAGCCCGTAAAGGTTGAAGGGGGACACGTCTCTGTCACAACCATCAGCATGTCTGGTCCAGAAACGAGCAAGGGTAAGTCCAATTGAAACGAAAATAGAAACAATAAGATAAGGATAATTGACAAAATAAAACAATTTATTAATTTTAAAGTTTTATTTATTTGAGCAATATTAACTGTTTTTAAACATAAGAAAGTCAGGTCATAAATAATATTTTGTAAATTTTCAGGTCAGTTCTCGTACAGTTCGAGCGGTGTACGCATCAGTGTGTCTTCGGTGCCACAGGACGAAGACTCTACTGATGCCGAAATCTCTAAAATAGATTTCACGCAGCATCAATATGAGGTAATTAGAATTACGTTAATTAACTAGTTTTAACTTCATGGGGTTCAGGGTTTTAGTTTTCAAAGATTCGAGTCCTGATAATATACAATTTTATTTTTTCCTAAATCACTTTATGTAACAGACGATGATGTTAAATTCATGGTCTCGTATATGCTCGGTTGCTGCTTGAAAAAAGAAAACAATCTAACAAATACATTTTAACATTTATTATTTTAAATAATAATATGTACCTACCTCAACAATATAGAGTTGATCGCTATTATTCACTTTTAAGGTCAACATGAGGAATAAGAAGAAGCGCTCGTCTGGCGGCCAATGCGAGCAAAACAGTGAGCAAGAACGGCCCATGTCATGGGAAGGCGAACTTTCTGACTCTGAAATGGTTATCGACACTAGTGTTAACAATGGTAAGTATAGTAATGGAACTCACCTATCTTAATTCTTAACATTAAAAACATTAACAGGGGCTTAAAGCTGTAGGTAGGTATAATAAATGAAATAAGTTTCGTCTCCAAAACCTAAATTAATTTATAGGCCTGAGCAACGTATAAACGGATACATAATAAAATTCTATAAACTATACCTAATAGAAGCCTTCAATCATTTTTTGTCTGTCTGTCCGTTTGTGTTTTACTATTGTATTATATCTGACTTCCACATTTCATGAGTGACATATATACAAACAAACATATTCTTTACGAGTATTACCCGCGGCTCCGCCAGCGTTCAGATGACCAAAAACCAAATTCTAAGGTTTTACATATTAGTATACTCTTACATTGCAGTTTTTGTATTTTTTCTCAAAAATTAAGATTATTTCCCGCTATATATTAAAAATTAAGATATTTTCTCGCGGTTAAAAGTATCCTATATGTTAACCCGGATAACCAGCTATCACCATACCAAATTCCATCAAAATCCCTCTAGTGGTTTTTCTGTGATGCGGTAACAAACAGACAGACAGACAGACACACAAAATTTCTAAAAACTATAGATTCGGCCTCGGTATCGATAATAATGTTTATTTCGATAAGATTTTCCAAAAAATATCTAATGTACAGATTCGGCTTAGTTACAATTTTATTATATGTATAGATTTTGTTACAGATGAAAACAGTAGTTCTCTTGATCTGCAATCGTCTCGGGACTCTATAGACACGCTTCGCAACGTAACAATAAAGACTGAGCCTCTCAAATCTGAAGCTTTCCAAAGTTTGGACGATCAACGGGTGCTGGAGCTAAAGTACGCAGCTCTACAGTCCCATCAGAGAAGTCTCAGTATGAATAGGGTATGTCCTTTATTGTTTAACGGATATAATTTCTTTACTTATTTAAAAGCTTATTATGTTTTTAACAAGCAATAAAAGAAGTGTTATACGTTTGACCGCTAAGCCTGTGAGTGCACCGATTTTGATACGGTTTTTTTATTTGAAAGTTGCTTGAACGGTTCTTAGATGCGGCGGCACTTTTAATGAAATTAAAAGGTCAAGAAATATTTTATTTTTTACTTTTTAGAGTTTTTTTTGTGTCGGGGGTTACTTTAATATTTTTAGTTTTATTCGATAAAATATTTATAAAAAATGAGAACCTTTTTATTTTAGACTGTAAATGTAAACTATAGGCTATATGAACATTACTTGTATTATATTCTTATTATAAGATAAGGCCGAGTTATTGTTTTTTCCACACGGTTTACGCTAGTCGCAGATTAGTAATCATAATTAGCTTTACATAAAACTTTAGTGCATATAATATGAAAGATTAATTTTTTTAAACTAAAATTACCCGACATAACATTTTATCTTTTTGCTAGAGCCATAGATCGTATCGAAAATAGATCGCATAGTAGCAGATATATAGTAATAGTATATATAGTATGCCGACAGATAATATTACAGAGACTATATTTTAAAACAACAAACTAAAAGACCGGTGGTATGGCTCGGTCAATATTGAGGAGTCTGACTGGATGGGTACTTACCCCCTTATCTATTTCTCCCGCCAAACATCATTGATGGCATTGTTGTGTTCCTGTGTAAAGGATAAGGTAGCCAGCGCAATTACAGGCAAGATGAATATCATCTTAGTCTTCAGGTGAACACGCACCTGCGGTTCTGTATTTTTGTTACGTAAAACCTAAGTGCATGAACCGTAGGTGTTATGGGCAACAGATACCGCTTTTCATCAGGTGGGTCTGCTCGTTTATCACTGAGCACCATAAAAAAAGGGTTCATTAGTGCGTAGGTTAAAACCTTAGTATATATTTGTATTAATTATACTTAAATAACTCATTAAAAAATTGTAGCTAGCGGAAAATATTTCTGATTTCAGATACCAGTTCTAACCGACAATACTCTATCTCTGGCGCGAAGGCCGTCCTCGCCCACAAGTAGTGCCAAATCTCTCCACTCTGAGTACGACACACCTATTATGCAAAACCCTACAATCGAAGTACAAAACTTGACTATTAAGAAGGAAACTCAATTATCTGGTAAGACATCTTTATAGGACTGTGCGCCCTTATGTACGGGTATTTTGTTCACAATTTCATGAGTTTAAATTTTTTTACGCGGAACCCAAATGTTTTTTCTAAAAAGAAGCCAAGTTACTTCTTATAATATCAACTATTAGCCCGTGAAAGTTCCCTTAAAATCGGTCTAGCCGTTTCGAAGATTAGCTGGAACAGACAGGCAGGTAGACAGACGGACAGACACACTGACAAATATTATAAAAATGTTTTTTTTTTTCTTATAAATACAGTATATACTTTCATATGCATTTTGTAAAAAGCTGTTATTTTGGTATTACAAACAGACACTTCAATTTTATTTATTTGTATACTAGAGACTTACCTTCGCTTCGCTGAGCTGAATAGTTTAGGAACACATAAAAGACAAATGTTCGAAGAAAAAATTTTTTGCGCTAGGAACCTTCGCAGGGGTCAATGGCTTAAGAATGCATATAGGACAAACATACGAACATTCATTTTTATTTATATAGATATGTAAGCGACATTGTAATATATAGGGGTATTATCTTTTACTGGATGGTACTGTTATTTGTCCCGGTTTTATTGAAACAACTTGTAAAGCCATTCGTAATGCGCTCGCTTGAAGAATTAAGTTAAACGAATTCAAAGCTGATGCAGTCTCTAATACTGTGAAGGAAAACATCGTAAGAAAGCCCACTAACCCACACTTGGCGTGGTAAACTATGACCTGATCCTCGCATTGAAGGAAGCTCAGCAGTGGTTTTAAACGGACTGATATATTATAGCTTAAAAATTGTTATTGTTTAAAAATGCTTAATATTAAGCACTTCTTATTTCAATTTGCTAGAATGTATACACGAATGAAAACACTTGCATTTTATATTCTACTAGCGACTCACTCTCGCTTTGCTCGGGTTTGTCCCTAGGTTGCTGCCCCATACAAACTTTTACCCCCTTAAGGGATGAATTCTGGGATAAAAAATATCCTACGTCCTTCCCAAAGTCTCAAACTATCTTCTTACCAAATTTCATCTAAATCGGTTCAGTAATTTCGGAGCCTATTCGATACAAACAATCAAAAAAACTAATTTTTCCTCTGTATAATATTAAAATAGATAAAGGAACGGTGTTATATGTAAATTTGATGCAAAGTAAGTTATAGGCGTGTTAACTTATTGTGTTAAATTATTTTATATTTACAGAACTCAAATGTGAACCATCAGCAGGAATGGACAAGTTGCTAGGATTACACGGGTCACCGCTACTAGGGCGTCTACCGAGAGTGCAGTCCAGTGCCAGTACAGATTCAGCTGTACACTCTATGTACACGCATAGGTAAGTATCAAATGCCATTCTTTTTAATTTTTTTCATACAAAAATTCTGTAAAAAGGCACTTTTAGTTTTTCCAAATTTCCCAATTTTTTTGAAAAAGTTGCATTAGAAAAAGTTTAAGCATTAAGTTAAATTATTCATCTCTTCGTATTTTTAAAATATTTTATTGAACTTTTGTAATAAAACTTACAAATCGTAATACAAAATTAACTTAATATTAACAATTATTCGAATATATTCATTTTGTTATTCTTTACTAGTACTAAAGCAATATTTTGATACAGCTTAGGAAATTTTTAACATACTCTTACTTCATAAAAGAAAAAAATATAAAGATATGTCCATATTACAGTGTATACAGCAGTCCGTCAGCCAGCCCGCGCCCGTCGCGCCACTACACGCCGTCGCTATCACGGAACAATAGCGACGCTTCGCATTCCTCTTGCTATTCCTATAGCTCGGAGTTCTCCCCTACACATTCACCTGTGCAGGTGAGTCTATATTTCATTTTATAAAACACGTTGATTTTTTATAAAAATTAGCCTTGCAGTCTATGTCAATACTCTATACTAATATCATAAAGAGGAAAGATTTGTTTGTTTGTACCGAATAGGCTCCCAAACTACTGAACCGATTTAGATGAAAATTGATAAAAAGATACTTTGAGACTAGAAAGGACATAGGATAGTTCTATCTATCTTAAGAGGGTGATAATGTTAATAAGATGATGATGATCGCGATTAACTACGTAAAATATTCCAGAGTCGACACCCACACGTGGTGTACCGCGAGGCGGCCGTGTACCCCGCGTCGCCGGCGCACGACGACGACCCGGACGCGGCGGACGAGCGCCTTCACCACCACCAGGGGATCAGTAGGCAGCAACTCATTAATAGGTATTTGTTCTCATATTGAGCTCTTTATTTACCTTTAGCGCTAACAGCGAAGTTAATTTTCTTCATGAGTTGACCATATTGTTATTGATCTTGGAAAATCAATGCGGAAGTTTGTATATATGTGTTTGTGTATGTTGGTTACTTCGTCACGCTGAATGGACAGATTTGGATGAAATTGTAGTACACAGATAGATAATAAACTGGAGTAGCACATATATTATGGAGTTAATCTCTAGTAATACTTAAATATAAAATCCAGTAAAAATAATTATTGTTTTACAATACCTAACCTAAAAAACAAGCTTTAGAAAATCTAATGTATGGGACTCATCAAAACCAATCATATATATATATATATCATATTTCCCTGTCCACCTAAATAGGAGCTAAAAGCTTCCTTGTCTGATCAGACTGATGGTATTAATTTAATGTATTGTCACCCGGATTTCACAAGTATAAAAATAAGTTGCAAATAGTCATAAGTAAACGAGAAGTATTTAAATTGAACTTCCAAGATTTGATTGCATAGTTAGTTACAAGGTCGAGAATAAACTTTTAAAAATGAGTAAATAAATTAGATATTGACTTTGAGCTCGATACTAACAGGTTCGATTTCCGCTCGTGCTGGATTCAACTACAGTTGTATTATATTTTTTTCAGCCCATGCCCTATATGCGGTGACAAAATAAGCGGTTTCCACTACGGAATATTCTCATGCGAGTCGTGTAAAGGGTTTTTCAAGAGAACAGTGCAGAATCGCAAGAACTACATGTGTCTCCGAGGTGGGAACTGCCCGGTCACGGTGGCTACGAGGAAGAAGTGTCCCGCGTGTCGGTTTGACAAGTGTTTGGGGTGTGGAATGAAACTTGAAGGTAAACTTTAAAATAAATTTAATTTTATTATTTCATTTTTCGGGCTAAAACTCCAATCTTCTTTTAGAAAAAAAAATCTTTCTTCTAGAAATTTGTGCGAAGCCACTCTTCATAAAAACAGCATACAATCGAATTGAGTACGTCCTCTTCAAAATCGATCAAATAAAAAAAAATGATGCTCGTTACGTTTATAGGTCTATTTCATAAAAATAAGAATTATGGCAGTAGGTTTTATTGCAGTTCGGTTCGTCACGCGCTAGCGGACGGTCGTTAATTCCCGAGCTACTCGTAGGTGACATTTTTAATCAAAATGTCTACAATTGTAAAATGTAGATCTTGTAATATTGTAATTAATGAGGTGCTTGCTTTCATTTGTAATAAAATGGACATTATGGATGAGGAGAGTATCAGCCGTATATGTGTGACGGCGTTCTCTCAAAGTGATATTGTGACTGCGAAACGGTTACTGTATGAGTCTTTGTCAAAGCAGATCAAGACCAGAAAACGTGATGGGAAGACTGTAAGAGATATTGATGACATCCTCTGTACACTGAAGGAAGCTGATCCTGAAGTTCTACCGATCTTCGTCGCACGGGAGTTGCAAAAACTACCCCCGGTTCTTTTCGATCATGTCGATGTAACGCAAATTCTTAAGGATTTAGTGAAAATGCGCCAGGATATCAATAATATTTCTCAGTGCTATGTAAGTAAGGAGGATTTAAATATATTGAAACATGACATTGAAACGCTAAAGGAGGCCTCCGTTGTAAATAAATTATCTAGTAATATAAATTCGAAAAGAGGTGCTTGTATGTTAGAAAGTTTCGAATGTAACAGTGGTCCTATGGGATTGCATCCTATCAGCAGTGAGAAGGATCATTGTGAGGGTCCCTGCCCATTATCACCGAGCAGGAAAACCCGTAATGAAAATCAACATCCCCAAGACGATAGAAGTAAAAACAAATCATCGAACGAACAGATGAATAACGGTATGCCACCGGCAGACTTCATCGAGTCAGCGGTGAGCGGACCGCTTGAAAAGGTAAACAACACGAAGTCAGCGTCGAGCGAGAGCATGACTCATGCGTCGATTGTACCTGCGCCTACAATACTATCGGACGGGCCGTGCTACAATGACCGCAGGCCGCAGGAGAAAAAATCTTACTCTAAAGTTTTGGAACAAGGTGAATGGAAGCCTCAAGAAGGAAATAAGCAATGGATATTAGTACAAAAAAAAAGATTGAGAAATCGATTTGTTGGTAACAAAGGAAAAGCCGTTGTCGAATCAAATATAAATTTTAAAGCGGCGGATATACGAATCCCTTTGTATATATATAACATAGCGAAAGATGTCACGGAAGACGACATTCAAAATTATGTAAAAAGTAAGACAGATGTGTCTGTTGATTTGGAAAAGGTTATTATGAAAACGCAAAAAGATTATGATGCATATAAAGTCTATGTGCCTAAAAGCAAAATTGAATATTTTTTAAAAGATGAATTTTGGCCGGAAGGAGTGGCGTTTAGACGTTTTATAGACTTTAAAGAAAGACACCGAAGTGGCCAAATGCCCAGGAGTACCTTAAATAAATAATGGCTGTTACAACTAAAATAATCAGTTTCAATTGTAGAAATGTACAGCGATCCGTTGCTTGTTTGAGGTCTCTCTGCCGAAAGGCTGACATAATTGCCTTACAAGAGACATGGCTCTTACCACATGATCTCAACTTTCTTGGAACTATAGATAAGGACTTCGCGTTTACTGGAAAATCAGCGGTAGACACTTCTCAGGGTACTCTCCGTGGAAGGCCGTTTGGTGGGGTGGCACTATTGTGGAGGAAGTCTGCGTTCCCGCGTGTGTCGGTAGTTGAGTGTCATAGTGTGCGTTTAGCGGCTATTAAAATACACCTCGACAGTGGTAAGTCGATGCTAGTGATTACTGTGTATATGCCTACGGACTCGGCGGTGAACCTTGTGGACTTTACGGACTGTATGGGTGAAATAAGTGCTTTAGTAGAGACAAACAGCATCGAATCTGTTTTTATTCTTGGGGACTTCAATGCACACCCAGGTGAGCAGTTTTCGCTAGAGCTTTTAAATTTTTGTAAAGAAAACATGTGGTCGTGTGTAGATATGGAGCTATTACCTAGCGATACCTATACATATGTTAGTGATTCACACGGTTCTCGCAGATGGCTCGACCATTGTATTGTTACTAGTGCCGCGCGGCATTCTGTACTTAATGCATTTGTTTTAAATCATGACGTTTACTGGTCTGATCATTTTCCTTTATTAATTGAATGTAATATAAGCAAAATTCAGTGTAAAATTGTGGCCCCCACACAATATGTTAATAAAATAAAATGGGGTGAAAGAGACAGTAATCAAATACAGCAATATACTGATAGTTGTAATAGTAAACTACACTTAATAGACCTTCCAGGTGATTTTTATGCATGTGCTGACAAAAGGTGTTCAAACATCGATCATAAAATTAAAATAACAACAATGTATAATGAGATTGTTTGTATTCTAAGAGACTCGGCAGAATATAGTTATATCGATAAAAAAGTTAGGAAGCATAGGTGCATAGCAGGCTGGAATATGCACGTTAGTAGCGCTCACAGGGAGGCTCGGTTCTGGTATCAGTCTTGGATACTATATGGAAAACCGTACACTGGTTTTATCTATGATAAGATGCGTGAATCGAGAAAATTATTTAAAACTAAATTAAAATATTGTCAAAATAACGAACAACAAATAAAACTAGATATTATTGCTCAAAACCATGCTGATAAAAATTTTAATAAATTTTGGAAAAACACTAATAAACTTAATCCAAAATCGAGCCTCCCCGTGAGTGTAGATGGTAAGTTTGATCCGACTGATGTAGCCAATGCCTTCCGCAAGCACTTTAAAGTGGAGTCTTCTCTCCCTCTAGAGTCGCAGGTGTTCGATGCTGGGTGTCGCGACGGAGACTTTACTGTCAGATTTTCTGAATGTGAGGTCGCCTCAATTATTAAAGGAATGGTCAGAGGTAAGTCTCCCGGTCACGACGATCTCAGCATCGAGCATCTGAAGTACGCGGGGGTGCATTTGCCCCGAGTTTTAGCTATATTTTTTAATTTATGTATAAGTCATTGTTACTTACCGAATGAATTAATGTATACTCTTGTTGTGCCTATAATAAAGAATAGAACGGGGGATGCCTCCGACTTGTCCAATTATAGGCCTATATCCTTGGCTACGGTTATAGCCAAGGTGATGGACGGTTTGCTTGGCAGAAGATTGGACGAAAATATTAAAATCCATGATTTACAGTTTGGTTTTAAACCCGGTCTGTCCACAGAGAGTGCCATTTTCTGTCTCAAGCAGACTGTGCAGTACTACACGGCTCGAAAAACCCCAATCTATGCTTGCTTTTTGGACTTGTCGAAGGCATTCGATTTGGTATCGTACAATTTGTTGTGGAAAAAGCTACATTGTGAAACCAGTTTACCTCCTGATGTCATATCAATATTTAAATATTGGTATGACAACCAGAGGAATAGCGTCAAATGGGCTGGCTCCCGGTCGGATGAGTACGGGTTGGAATGTGGAATGAGGCAAGGGGGGTTGACCTCACCCAAGCTTTTTAACGTGTACATTAATAAACTGATCGAGGAGCTTAGTAGCACCTACATAGGATGCCATGTAGGCGGGACGTGCATCAATAACATCAGCTACGCAGACGATATGGTGCTGCTGAGCCCTTCGATCGGTGCTTTGACTAAGTTGCTTCACATGTGTGAAGAGTACGCAGTGGCTCATGGGCTCAGATATAACGCGTTAAAAAGCGAGTTAATGGTTTTTCAGGCGGGTGACACAAGGAGACAACGGAGAGTAACTTGTGTTTCTCTAGGAGGCTCTGAGTTGAAAAGAGTTGACCGGTTCAAATATCTGGGTCACTGGGTCACTGAGAGCTTGTCAGACACGGTAGACATTGAAAGAGAGCGTAGGGCGCTGTCTGTTCGCTGTAATATGTTGATCCACAGATTTGCGCGCTGTAGTAAACAAGTCAAACTAACACTTTTCAAAGCCTACTGTCAATCGTTCTACACGTGCGGTCTGTGGGTCGATTTCACGCAGCGAGCATACAGCGCTCTACGTGTCCAATACAACAACGCGTTCAGGATGTTGTTCGGTCTGCCGCGCTTCTGTAGCGCGTCGTCAATGTTTGCCGAGGCACGTACCGACTGCTTTCACGCGATCATAAGAAAAAGGTGCGCCTCGCTGTGGGCGCGAGTAAGCGGGGCATCGAACACCATCCTGAGTGCCTTGGCCGACCGGTGGGACTCCACGTTGTTTTGTCGCTGGGTACAGCTTCATGCTCCCGTTGCTAACTATAATCTTTAGCACAGGAGTCTCCTCAGAAGCCAAAGAATTTATTTTTATTTGTTTAGTAGGTATATTATATATTACACAATAAGTTTTACTAACATAGTTGTAAGTTTTTAAATGTAACTAACAAGTGGACTGAGTCTTAAATAAAAATATTATTATTATTTATTATTATTATTAAATATTGCTGATACATTTTCTGTTAGTAAAATACGATGACGTTTTGTCACTGTTCCAAAAAGCCTATATAAGTTAATTAAAAAGCAATTTAAGCTTTACAACAAGTATACATCAAAAAATTAAACGATTTTAAAGATTTCTTATCAACATGCACTGTATAATTTGCTATATATAACTATTAACTATACGTCTATAAATACTTGCTCTATATAGTAATACATTATTATTTATATTGCAGCAATAAGAGAAGACAGGACTAGAGGGGGCCGGTCCACATACCAATGTTCGTACACTTTATCGGGCGCGTCGTCCACGGGCTCGCTGCTGTCTGCGCACGCGTCGCCCACGCTACGACACGCCTCAAGCCTCACTTGTGTGAGTACTATTATCGATCCTTTCTTTACTCGTATTCAACCCTTTTTAACATCCCACTGCTGGGCACGAGCCTTTCTTCATATGATAGGGATAAGGCCATAGTCCACCACGCTGGACAAGTGCGGATTGGCGGACTCCACATGTCTTTTGAAAACATGCGTGCAGGTTTCCTCACGATATTTTCCTTCACCGTAAGACAAGTGGTAATCATGTTGGAAATGATTCGCACATTTGGATATCAGAGACGTAAGACCCGGGATTTGAACTCGCTTCACTCGGTTTCCCAAGTGAGCGCCTTACCACTGGGCAAACCACTGCCTGCTTGCTTTGCTTACAGTCAACTAATCCATACAGTCGTTAATTTTCTGAGAGGAGGAGAGAGAAGCCAGTAGACTCATATTTGAGGCTGACTTAGTTTGAGCTACTGCATCCCACATATGTAGACTAACTGTAATATATTTTTAAATGTAAGATTCAATTGTACATGTGGGATAAATAATTAAATTAACTTAATATTGGCATAATAATTCCATAAAGTTGTCTAACAAAGGCCTCTAGACAGGGCAATTGGGCGAAGCGTGCGAGGTAAGATGCGAATGAAATGCACCCGATTGTAATATGTACTTATTTAATCCCTATTATAAACAATATTTTCAAATAAATTTTTTTTCAGGTAAACGGCCCAGGATCATATAACAGTCGAGGAGAATCAAGTAACAGCCGGCTCACCCCTGATATACCGCCATTATTACAAGTAAGCTCTTCACTTATAAATTCTGATAAAAAAATCTTAACAGAAATAACATTAATTTTTATTACTATAGGTCCTATATACCTGAGGTGTTATTGAATTAATTTATGTCATAAAAATTTAAAACGAATATTTTTAATGGCAACACCATATTATAAATTATAAACATAAGGTTACTTTCAATTTATTTTGAGGTTTTATCTCCAGAGTGGTTTTATACATATTAAAAAAATACCACTAAGCGTGGAACAATTAAAGTAATTTAGAAGTTTTTGTACTTTTTAAATTATTATTTATTATTTATTTATAAGATTCACCAGTGGCAATTACAACATTATAATTTATTATTATATACGAGTACAATGGTTCTTATAGTTATATTATACATAATAAAGCATCACCTTTTATATGGAGATATTACAATATATTCACATTATATCTCTATTAGTACATGCTATAAATTATTAAATATATAATATAAACAAAATATTCAGACCAAAAAAAATCATATTAACCATTACAATTATTTGTTCCAGGAAATAATGGACGTGGAACATCTATGGCAATACAACGAGTCGGAACTGAGTCGCATGAGCAAGTCCACTGGCAGTCCGTCAGCGAACCCGCTGTTGGCGGCCAGCGGCATCACCGCGCAGAACTCCAGCGCGGACTTTCTCGCTGACCTGTGCAATATCGCAGACCACAGACTGTATAAGATTGTGAAGTGGTGCAAGAGTTTGCCATTGTTTAAGAATATTTCTGTAAGTATATATATGTAGCATAATGTAGCAGTGTTTAATTAAAATTATTATTAATTAATCTAATTGAGTTAGTAGAGGATCAGTGTTATGGGTGATGAATGAAATGTCGTTCATTTTATTTCGCTCGGTGTTCAGAAAATATATAATAAAACGTGTGTGTGTACTTAAGTGTGCACGTAAGAAGTTATACTTCTTTGGTGTAACAGAACAAACATAGCTAAACATTTTATCCCGTATGTCACAACTCTCTGTAATCGTCAATTGTAAAAGGAATGATATATTAATAAAAATGATTAAATTAGGCATATTAGGTATATTAAAATAATATATTTATAGAATATCGTTTAAGGATAGATTATATATCATTTGGCAGACAATAACAACGGTTACCATAGCCATAAATAGTTATCAGTTAATTTCATCATGTCGCTTTTTGGCTGTCGGTGTGCGCGCGCATCGTAAAAATTTTACTTTTATGTTTTTTTCCAAACATCCCAAAAGAAGTATGTATAACTTCATAATTGCTTTTTGTCAGAACAAGCACTTATATATAGATATACTTAAAACGCAAAACCTTATATCTAAATACAAAATTTGATCCAAATAGTTGGAGTCGTTTCTGAGATGTTTACCGAGATATAATATACAAGAACTGTTCATTTAAAGTCATAATTGTCCCCAGATCGACGACCAGATCTGCCTGCTAATCAACAGCTGGTGCGAGCTGCTGGTGCTGTCGTGCTGCTACCGCGGCGTCAGCACGCCGGGCGAGGTGCGCGTGGGCGGCGGCCGCGGCATCACGCTGCATCAGAGCGCTAAGTTAGTATTCACAATCAACAAATGAACTGATTATACTATAGTATTTCATTTGCCTCAGCGGTGTAGTGGCTAGCAAGTACAGTGCAACCGCATCAAGAGGTCCTGGGTTCGAGTCCCGGGTTAGGCCAGGATCAGTTATTAAGTCTTTCTGTATAGTAAGCCTCAGGAACAGCCTGGAGTTGGGAAATTAGCGGCGTCCCACCCCCGTGCCTCGGAGAGCACGTAAAGCCGTCAGTCCTGCGCCTTAACTCTCACCGGTCGTGTCGAGTGGTCGTCCCACCGGAGTATGAGAGTGATAGGAATGAGAGTGCACTTGTGTCTGCGCGTACAGGCGCTGTACTATAATATCTCTTGTGCAGATGGCTAGTCTCAGTGAGACTGGCCGCCGTGGCGGAAGTCGGTCGGGAGGTCATATTATTATTATTTTACTTGCTAAGCTAGTGTGGACGCTTAGTATACTTTCTAAACTATTATTATATTGTTAGAGGTAGTGGTAGCCCAGTGGTAAAGCGATTGCTCGGGAAACTGAGTAAAGCGGATTCAAACTTTGGGTCTCGCACCTCAGATATTTTCATGCGCGAAGCATTTTTCAACATAATAGTCCGAGGTTTAATTAAAATATCTCACACGTGTTTTATCCTTACAATCAGTCACATATTAATAAAGTAAAAATAATTGCCATCTTCATGCACTAAATTATTATCTAAACTAGCGGTACGTTTTATTATTTTATTCAACGGAACCCTAATTCATGTTCTAAAATAAAAGTAGCCTATGTTACTCCCTATAAAGTCAGCTATCTTCCTGTGAAAGTCTCGTCAAAATCAGTCCAGCCGTTTCAGAAATTATCCGGAACAAACAGACAGACAAAAATTTAGAAAAATGTATTTTTCTTATAAGTACCGTATATAATTTCATATGCATTTAGTAAAACGCCGTTATTTTAACATTACAAACAGACATTTCAATTTTATTTATCTGTATAGATAATTTGATTAATTTATTTTTTATCAGGTACGGCCTCACTCCATGTATAGAACGAATGCTCAGTTTCACGGACCACCTGAGAAGGCTTCGAGTGGATCGCTACGAGTACGTCGCGCTGAAGGTCATCGTGCTTCTTACTTCTGGTAAATATTCAAAATTTCTGTATTTTTAGCACGCTTTTATTATAAATATGTGATAAAAATAATTTTTAACACGTGTATATATGCTTAGAATTATTTAATTTATTTTTTAAATGAAGCATTTTTTAATTAACAAGGTAAGAATGGTACTTATTCAATAATATAAAACTCAGGCATGTTCTTTTCACGTCTTTTGAGTAACTTTATTAAGAATGCATATACTTAGCTATCCAATGTAATAACTTGACGTACTACGACAATATGAATAACTAGGCTTTCTCGTTGATATAAACTTCATACGCGCAAAATTTCATCAAGATTTTTAGGATATACCATCAACGGTCATAAACAAAGTAATTTAACAAATTAATCTATACAGTTAAATAAAATGGAAGTTTTTGTCTGTCTGTTTGTTCCGGCTAATCTTCGAAATGGTTGAACTGATTTTGACGGGACTTTCACTAGCAGATAGCTGATGTTATAAGGAGTAACTTACGCTACTTTTATTATAGAAAAAAAGAATTAGGGTTCCGATCAAAAAATCTAAAAACGTAAGCGAAGCGATAGCGATGATATATATATGTATGTTAAGATATTAAAGGCAGTGGTAGCCCAGTGGTAACGCGCTCGCTTGGAAAACCGAGTGAAGTGGGTTCAAATCCCGGGTCGCACCTCTGATATTTTGATGTGCGAATCATTTCCAACATGATTACCACTCGTCTTCACGGTGAAGGAAAACATCGTGAGGAAACCTGCATGTTGAGAGAACCTAGCAAGTTTTCTAAAGACATGTGAAGTCCGCCAACCCGCACTTGGCCAGCGTGGTGGACTATGGCCTGATTGCCCTCGTACTGAAGGGAGGCCCGGGCCCAGCAGTGGGACGTTAAAAAGGGCTGAATACATACAATACAAGATATTAAAGTAATCTTAATTGTGTTTTAATAGATGCGCCAGAGCTTCGTGAAGCGGAAAAAGTAAGAGCATCACAAGAGAAAGCGTTGGCAGCTCTTCAGGCGTACACAGCGACGCACTCGCCGGAAACCCCCGCAAAGTTCGGAGAGTTGCTGCTTCGTATACCGGAACTGCAAAGAACTTGCCAGGTGATTATAGACTTTGTTAGTTATGTATTAAAATCGTAAATTGGTTTATTAAGTTTGTAAAAAAAAAACAAATCTGCCATTAATTTGCCTGCAACTTTACACCATCATCGGATCTGGTTTTTTTTGTTTTTAAATAAGAGGTTAAAGTGTATTCAATGAAAAACTAATTACCATATAAGTATTTTCGTAATTTGCACTTTTGACAATTTTACACCCAATAATATCTTCAATGAGAACCTCCTATCATCCGCCCTGTTTTATATTTCTTATGTTCCCTCCCTCAAGGAACTAGGGTCTTCATATTTTCATGGTCAATTAAAAAAAAAAACGATATGGAAATCAAACCTGTGTCCTATGTTGTAGCAGGCAATGTACGTAAAATATATTTTATTAACCAAATAAAGCTATGAAAGGGTTGTTTTCTTAATAATAAATTGATTATATAATTAAAATTTTAAAAATAATTTTGATATAGATAAAAATATTTGCTTATTTTTTTTAAATATTTTCTTACATTTTCATTGGTTTTGTTTACAGTTCTTCATGCAAGTTGGTAAAGAAATGCTGAACCCAGCAAACAAAAGTAAAGATGGCGATGGTCCTAGCTTCAATCTCCTAATGGAACTTCTAAGAGGCGACCACTGAGCTACTGGGTTCTTCAATTATGAACGAAAATTTATACACATTGTATAGGGTACTTGACTATAAAGCAAGGAAAAACGTGATTTAAAGTGTAATTCGGACTTATTCTTAAAAATATTTTTTTAAAGTACCCTATAATGTACAATAATATGTTAGTAGCGATATATACAATAATACAGTGATATTACAATACTGCCTTCAAAGCCCTTACTAATTCGGCCTTGAATCAAAGACTGCTTTCATGAACATTAGTTATTGTAATGCTTTTTATGGTCTTGTATCAGTAATTTTATCATAATTGAACTTCAAATAATTTCATTTAATTAAATCTTAGATATATGCCTACCATACATCATAGAGCTCGAAAATAAAATAATAAGACGATAACGTGTGCGGAAAACAGTTATTGAAGCTAGAAATGGTAGTATAAAGAGCTGTTTACAAAAAATAACAACGGAAGAAAGCCATACTTTACGAAATGTCCATTTAAAATAAAACTGACATAATATGTGAAATGGAACAATAAAATAATATGTGAAATGGAAGAATAAAATGAGAAATAATTTAATAATCCATATCGGATTTTTTTACTAAAAGTAACTTTGAAAAGTTCTCACTGCTATTTTAATCATATTGTTGATACAAGACTGCTTATACTAAGTGTATTGTAATGTATTTTTGTAACATTGGATATTATAACGCATTTATTTTTCATACGCTCTCGAAACATAATAAATACTCCTGGTATCTCTATTTTTTAGCCTTTATATATACATATAATGTATATATATATATATATATACATTATATGTATATATATATATATACATTATATGTATAGTAATGTATAGAGAACAGTAACTCAAATTCCAACACTGCCATATGCTTTTACTAGTATATAGTATATATGTATTAAAAATAAGAAAAGGGAACAATTATAGATAAAAGATAAATGCTCCTTTCTAAATTGCCGCTCAATTTACGATATTTTAAAGATTACAGGGCTACAGTATTTTTTGGCAAGGAAAAAAATGGGTGCATGTAACCTTTGCGCGCGGGTGAAGTGAAACTTCTTTGGCAAATATCACAATTAAATTAAAACAAATAAATAATTTATTAAGATATATTAGGCATATTACAATCATATATTTATATAAAATCATATACGGAAAGAATATATGTAATATTATATAACAAAATTGTCTCTTTTTAGTGTCGCATTTTCGTTTAATCGAGATTAAAATCACAATGATCTAAAGAAGTTTCACTTCAAAAGTAAAGGTGTTGCACTATTTAAAGTTGCCCGGAAAATAAGATAACCAATTAACCGTTATATCAATCAAAAATCTTGCCAGTTATAAGTTTTTGAAGAATTTTTCCCAATGTTTTAACATAATCAATAAAACGTAATATATAAGTAAAATATAACTTGATACTATGAAAAATAAGAACTATTTGTATTTTTGTAATTTTGTACTTGACTGTCTGTGACTGTCTTAGAAAATGTTTTTGTACAATTGAACGAAATTATGTAAAATGGATCCAGCCCACGAAAACCGTTTTTTGAGTTATTGTCATAAATGTAGGTGCTACATATCAACTTATGTAGAGAAAGTAGATAAAACACCCAAAATTTAAGAGGAATTAAAAAAATCTATTTTACTAAAAATCCTATTTTCTGTAAAGTAAGTTTTTGTGGTTAGATTTATTTTGCATAACTACGTCCAATTGTTTTCTAATTGTAGTAATATTGATTTAATTAAATATTACATATGTTGAGTCCCAAGAAATATGTTAGGCTATGGACCTTTGAATAGATAACTAATATTTCATTAAAAAAAAATGATAATATGTTAATATAACGGTTTTTACGTTAATATTTTAATTAAACCCATTTTTGCGGATTTATTTTGATTTTTGTTGCCCATGATTCCTGTAGAACACTCAAAACATCGGGAACGGAAAATCAAGATAAGTTTACGAAAAAAAAACGATTTTTTTATATCAAATATTCGCGTAAATCTAAGGAAATACGTTGTTATTCCAATGGTATTGTATAAAGATAAATAATTGATTTATTTATAATATATCCATAGCAAAGATATTTGTTGGTGAAACCTTGTAGGGAGCGCTTAGTAGCGCCCATTGTAATCATTGCCATTTTGTTTAAGTTACTTAATAAAGTTTGTATTAGGTTAAGAAATGAAGGTGTAACTTTCAAATGACTCTGAATTATCGAGGAATGAAACTTTAGATATTAATGTATCACTTCCCGCAACGGGCTACGTGGTAAATATATAATTTTCCGTCTTTAATTATAATATTGTATATATTAATTATTGTTTTTATAATATATTTTTTTTATTTCTTTTTAGTGCAATACTTGGCATAAAGTTGTATTTATCTTGGCTAAAGTAAAAAAATATATATATACTTTATGCTTTGTCTATGCACTTTATTCTTAAAGCTGCTCGATGACAGCTATTGAAACCAGTTAATCACTGCCCATAATTAAGATGAAATTGCTATAAGCAAATAATTTGTTTTGTTGCAATAGTTTTCTAAAACATATTTTGTTTTATTGTAATTTTAGATTTAGTAGTAAAATATCGTAGATACAAATGTAGCTTAGAGAATAAAACCTGCTGTAGATTAATTTAGTTGCAGTTTAGAAACGTCATTCTAATTTCTATACTATATTTTTTTTCAACCTCTTTTATGCCGTCTATATAAATTAATAATTATTATTGGTTTATTTTTACTTAAAGCCATGTTTAGGAAAACGTTGTAGCGATGTCATTGCCACAAGTTACTACATTTTTATGGAATATAGAAACGTATCAGTTATATGTTATATATATTTATTTTGATAACATATGTCAATACAAGCCAATAAAATATCAATATTAGATTTAACAATGTACGTATGATAAGGGCACAAGTACTTCGTTTTATGTTTAGTTATAATATTTGAGCTCATATACTGTAAGTAATTATAAGCGTTTTAAAAACAATGTGCCACTTGAACGCTATGTTTAGTTTGTAAGAGGTCGAGATTTACATGTGATTCAGTTTGCTCTCATCGCAAGGTCAAGGTCTTGTTACACATAAAGTAGAGGACCGTTAATAATCGCTCAAAAATATATTAATAATATTTTTAATTAAAAGTTTTCCAAAACGTAATTTCAAAATTATTATTACTGTTATGATAGTGCGTATACGTAAAAAAGAAAAGTGTGTAGGTACCGTGTAATAATATGATGAGGACTAAAATTTACCAAACTCTTTGTACGTGAGATTTAGGAACACATAATAAAATAATCATTAATATTATTTAACATATATTTTTTCTTAGATTATAAATTATAAAGTTTTCAAATAAATTTACGAATAGGAGGAATAGAAAAAAAATTATGAAGTAATATTACTAGACTGAAGTTCTAATAATTTATATTATTGTTGACCTTTGAATTTTAAATTTGAACATGTAAATTTAAAAAAAAGACATAGTCCGTTGGTAAACCTTTTAGTCCTCTTTCAATTTTTTCTTTCAATTTCAAAACAATTAGATTTTTTACTTAAACTAAGCAATTTCTTGCTTATTCTATTTTGATTCTTGCGATGTTCACTTTATGTGTAGGAATAGGAAAGTTAGTGGCTAATTTGTATAAAAGTTTACTGAACTGATAATGATAGGATTAAAATAAGTTCTCAAGCTTCAAAACAAATTGTTTTCGTTATTTTAAAAATTATTGCATCCAAGCTTAGCCAAGCGAGCTTATCCACTAAAAAGATATTTCTCAAAAAAATGCTAACACAAAGTTTGTATACTACAATATTGTTTTGCAATTGGGTATTTTGTCACATGGAGTGAATGATGCAATTTCAGAGAAGGCAGGTCTGAGTCGGTCCGAATAATTTTTATATTAAAAATTTGAAGGAATGAGAGAATGATATTACGTCCAATAATTTGTAATTTTACGTTTGTTACGATATATTCATAAGTATTATATTGATATTCTATTTCTTTATTTTGTAGAGCTACGGAAATATTTTTATATATAGAGCAAAATAAATTGGATTTCACATATTCTATTCATTTTATTCACCTTCCTATATTTTCTGTGTCTAATTACTAAATAACTAAAAAACATTCTCTATGTAATTTCCGTCTTGTGGATATAATCCTTGTAATACGAGATACAATTGATAAATGTACTAAGTTTTATTTTTATTACATGTGTTTCTTAGATCTCGCCCTCTTCGCTTTACGCTTACTTGAAAAATAAACTACATTAGTTACATGACCTGCACCTACTGACGAGTATGTCAAAAATAATAATCCCTAATTTGGGGAGTTTTTATAATTTCGTTTTTATGTACAAAGTACCACAAAGCAGAATTACATTCCCATTTCTGTATACATATATTATGTAGGTATAACTTCCGAAAAACCTTTTACTATAGTTGATAATATTTTATTAAGAGTGTTAAATTAAATTATAACAATAAAAAAACGAATCCGTAAAAAATTAACTACAAAAAAAGGCGTTGAAATTTGGCGCATGAAACTCGTCATTTTGATTCTCAATAATACCTATATAACTCTCGCGTTAGCATTCCGCAACGTGAACCGTAAATTTTGTAAATATCAACTATTTATTATATATATATATATATATATATATATATATATATTCAACTAATTAATAAACAAGATTAGACTATTAAAGAATTTTATTTCTTTCTGTAATTATCTTATAATCAAATTTTTCAGTATTCAATCGAATAAACTTCACTCCAAAATAGAACAAAAATTAATAAGTATCGATAAATTCGATATAATATACTTTACGTGAATTCCAACTTTTATTTCAAATAACTAATAATGAAACAATATTAAAATCTAGTGTGTACCTCGCCTTAAATCTAAATTTAGGCTGTATAGTTATTGAAGTATACACTGAGAATTTTTGACGACTGAAATTTTTCACGACTCGTCAAATTGCAAAGTTGGAATTTTTACGGCGACATCGTATAAATAATAAGCGTCACTGCGTCAAATTAAAAACTTAAGGATAGCGTTTTTTTCGTTTTTCTCAAAAGATACATAGGTGTAATCGGTTTATAAAAAAATGATCAATAAAGTACACTTCTGTAATGATTATTGAAAAAAATGTATTTTTCAAAGTAGCAATTTTCGATTTATCCAATTTTAAAATTTTTTAAGGTTGTTTTTATAGGCGACCATACAATGTTTTTATTTCTTCAAAAATAGAGTTCAAGACGAAAGGAATGAGCCGTATCTGAAAATTGAACATTTTTTTAAATGTAAACATCTACTTGAAGTTGGGAGTGATTTTTAGCCTCTCGAGAGCATAAAACAAACTTTTCTCGGAAATGGCTTAACATTTCCGTTATTATTTTTTTATTATATGTATGTCGACGATTACATTCCCTTAGTTTTATGAAAATCAAAAGGTTATTCTAGAAATTAAAAATAAAAAAAAACCAAAAAAAAATAGAAACCGAGTTTTTTGCAAATGTCTCGAAAACTTTGAGGTTCTTGTGTTACTTATAAAAGTTGTAGATTTTTACTAGACTTACAACTTTTGTAGAAAACATTTTTCGATAGAACGTCACAGTAAGCCGGAAATTGAAAAAAAAAACTATTTTTCAACGCTTTGCGTCCCCCCATTTCTCGGGGGTAGCTGGGCGTTGGGGGTATTTTACGAATTTATATTCCTTATACACCTTTTTTTTTACGTTGGGAAATGCATTTACGCACGACGTGTGGGACTCACCGGCGTAATACAGCCAGTACTACCCACTAAAACCCACCAAAACCTTCCCCCGTCTTAATGGGGCGTCGCAGGATCGCTTACGCATTCAACTACGACGCCCCGACGGCAGGTCTGCCGAAGCAGACCACCACAACCATGGGGTTGCTCCAAGGTCCACTCTGCTATCAGAGAAGTACCAGGAGCAACCCGCAAGGTACACCGCCCCCCGAAGAGGGCCACCTCCCACCGCCCACCGAAGTAGGCAACCTCCCTGTGCGTTTCTTAGCTTCGCGCCCGGTTGGCCGGGCACTACTGAGCCCCCAACCCCCCCCCCCACCACCACGACAAGGTGAACGCACGTTGGGGGGGAATTCCTTATACACCTGCTAACATTTTAAAATTTAAAACTTCAGGTTTTCAGTCCACCCCAAAAATGTATTTTTTATTTTTTGGACAAAATTTTTAATTTTAATTTTTTTATGATTCGGCATTAAAAATACATACAAAACTAAATTTGCACTAGGGACGAACCCAAGCGGAGCGAGGGTGAGTCGCTAGTAATGATATTAATGTCCTCTTAACAAATTCAGCCTTAACAGCTCATCTCAAAGAGCTTTCTTTTATAGAGCACAATACGCGCGCAACCAAGTGCGCTCGCTATTCTTGTTACTTTTATACTCCAGTGGGACGACAATTTGACTTGACCGGTAAAACATTAGGCATAGGACCGACGGCTGTATGTGCTTTACGATGTAAAGAAATGAAATATTGCCAGTGTGCCAACTCCGGGCTGTTAGTGAGATTTCTTGATAGAACCCAATAACACTTGGCCCAATAACACTTGGCTCGACCCGAACTCAAACGAGATTTTCAGCCGGGCACATGCTAGCCACTGGATGACCGAGGCAATTTAAAAAACGAATTGGTAGATTTGATTATTTCAATCTGTTTTTTTTTGTTAAACATATAAACAGACAGATGTGATCATCTTATCTAGCCTGAACATTTGTTTTTAAAATAGACAAAAAAAATGTCGCAATATAACAGTATGTACGAGTGTATATATATATATATATATATATAAATATAAAGCCATTTTGAGCTGATTAGGTATATTCTCAACTTTTTAGATAGTTGATTAGTATGAATAAATGTAATTTAAGCATGATTAATACATCTAAAGCTTTCTTCTATTGTCGTCTAAGTTGGTGTCAGCGAGAATATAAAGATAAGGTGGCAAACAATAAATACTGTAATTAATAAATTTCAGATTAAGAAATCAAAGTAGGTATCTCCTATGTTGTCAATACCTACTATATATAATGTCCTTTAGATTGATAAGATAGTAATATTTTTGTGCATTTATCACGTTAATTAAGTCACTAATTAGCTTATTTATCAAGATATTTGTAAGAGTGGGTATATAAAGAATACTTTTATTCTTAAGTAAATTTCAAAATGTTGCGTTTTGGTCTGCTGTTGTGTGTTGCTGGCCTTGTTGTGGGGGGACCCTCCGCTTCTAAGACGAGAGAAGAAATTGAGACCTTTAGGCAATACTTGGAACAAAGCCGTACAGGTATACATTATTATAGTTTAGCAATATTATAATCTGTCCGTTTACCAATCCGTTAGTCGTTTTCAAAAGAAGGAAGCATTTTTGTTTTAATAAGCATGATTAGGTATCTATTCTAAATAAAAACCCCCGTTTAGTTATTTTTTACATTTTATTGCCTGGAAGACGGTTTTTTTAAGTTATTTTACTTCCATTTTTAGCGTAGACGTAATAAGCAGGTAATTTGTAAGAAGAAAGTTTTTTAATAATTGTCAAATTTTATTGAAAAAGCAATTTATTTAAAAAAATAATTTCTTACTGATTTTTTTAAAAACCGCTCGCCGATTTCAATAAAATTTAAATGGGACCACCTGGGAAGTATATCTTTCGAAACAAAAAAAATATTTCCAAATCGGTTCAGGCGCCTTCGAGTAATCGGTGAACATACATAAAAAATATTCCAACGAATTGAGAACCTCCTCCTTTTTGGAAGTCGGTTAAAAAACAGAATCGATTAGGGGTAGTTTGGTTTTAAAATGTAATATAAGTGCGGACAAATGTTTGAAAATAAATCTATACTAATATTATAAATGTGAAAGTTTAGAAGTTTGGTTGTTTGTTACTCAATCACACCAGAACATCTGAACGGATCTGAATGAAATTTGGCACAGAGATAGATTATAGTCAAGAATAGCACATAAGATATTTGTTTTTCCTAGAGGCGAACCCAAGCAAAACGAGGGTGAGTCGCTAGTAATATACTTAATAAGAAAAATAAAATTCTTGTCGTTGTAACGTACATTTTGTTTTAATGTATGCTAATTAAATTAAACGTACTATACTATCTTATGAAAGGAAGAAGGGTTTGATCAGTAAAGTTTTAACTGTAGAATCTCATTCTTTTTTCAGAAAATGGTGTCCGAGTTGACTCTAAGGCGTTATCGGATCTTCAAGGCAACATTTGGGAGAACAGTGGCAAATTTCAAGGCGATATAGTGTTAGATAACTGGCAAATAGAGGCTCTAGTCACAGATTATGCTGCTGGAAGAGCAGCTTACATCTGGCCAAACACTAAATGGCCTAACAATGTTGTTGTTTACGATTTTGGGGTCAACGAATTTAGTAAGTAATATTACCGCTTCTAATAAGCTACAGTAGCTTAAAAATAAAGTTTAGTTTAAGTTTCATATAAATTCAGAGCATTCAGATCAATTTTTTAGTTTTGTATTAACATTATGTAATCTATCTATACATATAATAATTGTAACTAAGCCGAATCTGTACATTAAATTATTTTTTGGAAAAAACTTATTGAAATAAACATTATTATCGATACAGAGGCCGAATCTATAGTTTTAGAATTTTTGTCTGTCTGTCTGTTACCGCATCACAGAAAAACCACTGAAGGGATTTTGATGAAATTTGGTATGGAGATAGCTGGTTATCCGGGTCAACATATAGGATACTTTTTACCGCGGGAAAATATGTCATTTCTGAAAAAAATATATACAAAAACTGCAATATAAGAATATACTAATATATAAAACCTAAGAATTTGGTTTTTGGTCATCTGAACGCGGGCGGAGCCGCGGGCAACGCTAGTGTATGCTAAGTTTCATTAAATTTGTAGATGCCGCACAACAGTTGGCCATTTTGAATTCAATCAATTTGATCGAACGGAACTCATGTGTCAGATTCCGTCGGCGTAACGCTAATGATCGTGACTTCGTTTTACTTACCGTAAGTAAATGTTCCTCTTTAACTATTATTCTTTGCCAACCTACTACTACTACATTCTGTATTTTGATGATGCTGGTTTGTAATTTAAATGGCTACTACACGTACCCATTAGTGCTGCTCGGGGGTTCGCCCACGAGAAAAGTATTTTACAACGTTGGATAGCACTACCTAGTACCTATTAACAAGTCCCGAAATAAAGTGTTGGTGCAATAATATAGAGTTATTATCGCCTGGGAATGCTTTTATTCTTTAGGGAATGTATTATAGATCCGTGCTCTATGTGTAAGTCCAAGATTTAGCCTATACTTGTCTGTTTCATCCAAATCCATTAAACGTTGAAGCGTGATTGAGTCAAAAACATCTAATCAACATAATACTGAAATATTTTTAACGTACCTATACGTTTAATGTAACTCTTTTCACTTTATTCCTTCCTGTTGAAATGGCTGGACTGATTAGGATGAAGTTTAGTATACAGAAATTATTGAATTTAAGATATAGGAAGGCTGTTTTAAGGCACATAGCTGTGCGTTCACACAAGCGGAACGTAGGTAAATCACTAGAAGAATATATAAATAAGATTATAATATATTTAATCCATTTTAATACATATTCATTTATATTAATTTTATAGGGTAGATCTGATGGGTGCTACGCAAATGTTGGTTTCTGGGCTGGGCGCGGTATTCACATCATGAACTTAGCGCGCGACACTCCTGGACGAGGATGCTTCATGCCTGTAGTCATCGTCCATGAGTGGCTTCATATCCTCGGCTTCTTCCACATGCAGTCCACTTACAATAGGGATAACTACGTGCGCATCCATTTCGAGAACATTGTGGATGGTATATTCAAGATAAATTCTTATTGGCATTTTGTTTTTATTTTAAAATACATTCCTTCCTTTTTTGAACACATTAATTGAATTAAATATATTATCTAATATTTTAAAATTATTCTGATAAAATCAGATTCAAAAGTCCCTTAAGTAATGACAAAATATATGACAAAAATATCTGTAGTCTTCAACTTCAATTTAAAATATTATTATTATCTTAGAGAAGCCACCGATTTGGGCTTCCCCTTAATTTTTGATGTTGTCGTGCTTACAAAATTTTCGATAATATATGAAGTTATGATTTGAATTGCACCTTAATTTTCCAACATATTTATTAATATTAAGTTATACATAGCGATCGCGCCTTCCATAATGAAAATTGTAATTGCTTGCAGATATGGCGTATAATTTTTATAGATACGGCGCTAACGTGGTAAGCAATCTCGGCCTTCCTTACGAGTACACCAGTTGCATGCATTACACCACCCACGCCTTCAGCAAAAATGGACGACCTACAATTGTGGCTCTTAGGGTGAGAAAAGTTTTATTTTATCTAGTCCTTATTTTTACAAGGTTCAGTTTTTTTGTTCAGTTGAAATTACTTCAATAATAGACTTTGACCGAATATTCGTAACTAGCATTTCCACGGCTCCGCCCGCGTTCAGATGACCAAAAACCTAATTCTTAGGTTTTACATAGTATACTCTTACATTGCAGTTTCTGTATTTTTTCTCAGAGATGAGATATTTTCCCGCAGTAAAAAGTATCCTATATATTGACCCGGGTTACCAGCTATCACCATACCAAATTTAATCAAAATCTGTCCAGTAGTTTCCTCGTGATGTGGTAACAGACAGACAGACCGACAAAAATTCTATAAACTATAGATTCGGCCTCTTTATCGATAATAATGTCTATTGCAATAAGATTTTCCAAAAAATATTTAATGTACAGATTCGGCTTAGTTACAATTTTATTTTATGTATAGATTTATTATCTTTAAGTAAAGTTTTTGTTTTGACCACTAGGCTTTCTCGGGAATAATGGGTCAAGTAGAGCGAGTTACTGACTTGGACTGGTTGAGACTGCGGAGACATTACAACTGCCCTGGAGCGTGGAGTTTTGCTGGTATTGAGCATGGAGACAATGAACAAGATCTTGTCAATTTGGAGCAAGCAGAGATTTCTGGAGTAATCGGAGCTGAAGAAGCAGAAGAACAACAATGATTAATTTTAAAAACTTCAAATGATCAATTCTAAATTATTCAGTTATTCATAATAAAGATTTCAAAATTCAGGACTATTTCATTTATTAATTTAAAATTTTCCAAGAAAGAATCTGCCAAAAACATTATTAAAAAATATAAGTACCAAGTATTTATACGAGTAGTTTATACGTACCAAGAAAAATAGTACTAGAAATAGCCTTTAAAATTAGTTAGCTAGTTAGGTTGTTGCTAAGCCTGAACTTACAAAATCTTATTCTAACACCAGGTTATGAGATACTCGTATATTTCCAGTGTATCAAAACAATGTAGGTGTCTGTTTGTTTCTAGTAGGACGGGAAACGTTCCGATATGCTGTTAAAATTCTAACTGCCTCGGTGGTGTAGTGGCTAGCATGTACGGCTGCACACCCGGAGGTCCTGGTTTCGAGTCCCGGGTCGGTCCAAATTTAGTTATTGAGTCTTTCTGTATAGTAAGCCTCAGTAACAGCCCGGAGGTGGGAAGTTGGCGGTGTTTCTCCCCCGTGCCACGGAGAGCACGTTAAATCGTCGGTCCTGCGCCTTAACTCTCACTGGTCGTGTCGAGTGGTCGTCCCACCGGAGTATGAGAGTGACAGGAATAGAGAGCGCACTTGTGTCTGCACGTACACTTGTGCACTATAATATCTCCTGCGCAGTTGGCTCGTCTCAATGAGATTGGCCGCCGTGGCCGGAATCGGTCAGGAGAACATCATCAACATTTTAAACAAACCGAAGAGAGCTTAAACCGAGAAAGTTTAAAGTAACTTTAGAATTTGGGCGTGAGTTAAAATTTGAGCAAATCATAAATAAATGAGATGTAATACAATTTGGATGTCGGTCTTATTTGTTAAGCAGCTAGGAGTTTATCGCTTAGATATAACATTGTTATCACAATAGGGAGTATAGTATAGGGAGAATATATACAAATATAGGGAGAAGAATAGATTGTGTAAGTAATTTCTTTATTTCATTATATTGGGAATTCTGTAGAACTTTAAAACAATGTTCCATACATTGTTTCAAAGATTAACAATTTAGGCATTTGCTAACTTAATGACAAGTTCAAGATGATGAGCCACAAATTTTGTAAGTATGCAATAAATTATGAGTTAAAGATACAACTGGGTACTATAAATTACTAGGAAGTTATAATATACCTACTAATATTTACCATTACTAGGAAAATAAAAACAAAACTATCCCACGGGAACCGTACATTTTTCCGGGATAAGCCTATGTGTTATTCCAGACTATAATCTATCTCTATGCCAAATTTTATCCAAATCTGTTCAGCCGTTCTGGCGTGAAAGAGTAAAAAACATACATCTATACATCCATACTCACAAACTTTCACAATAATATAGTATAATACAAATTTTATTCTTATGAAAAAGAGATCTACAGGATAAGATATCAAATTTGTATAAAAATAATAATATGCACATATTTTCAAAGGTAAAAAAATGAATGTTAAGGGTTCGATGTGACCTCAGAATGCGAAAATGAATCCCTTAAATTAAGTTTTAGACAACTCGTATGTCTTTCTGCCTGACTATTCTGTAACACTCTGTTTTCTCTCAATGTTGAACAGAACCTATTGAACAGAAGCACTGATTGTATATGTATAAGCTCAAAAAGTTATACAGTGCTCGGTGGCGATGCTTTTTTAGCTCGGGAGCATCGATCAAAAAAGTACTAGATACACGATCAGCGACAAAAAGAAGCCTCATCGAATGAGCGCTCACTTAAATATTTGAGCGCGCCTTCAATTAAAATAAAATTGTGAACACAACTTTAAGCATTGCATTTAAGGTTTAATTTACATTATTTTTAAACATTTTATTTTTTTATTATTTCAACTAGAATAATTACCTAAACACAATTAGTGACAGTTTTAAGAGAACTTTTGCATGGGATTGTGTATCTAGGACTTATTTGATCGATGCTTGGAAGAAGGTCTGTCTCTGTAGGTTGTGAATCAATTTAGGCGATCCCTTATTATTCGTTAAGTCTAATCTTACTTAAGGAAATAATATGCATATCTCTACGTGGATTCTATATTGATATATTAAGCTAAAGAGATCGTTTGTCTTTTTGTTTGTTTTAACACGCCAATCTCTGGAACTACAAGACCGATTTGTAAAATTCTTTTTGTATGTTATAGTCTATTTATTGAGGCTGCCTAACGTCTCACTATATCCCTAGAGAGATTAGAGGTACAATCATACATTAAATAACACGCGAGCAGAGCCGCGTGCACTAGCTTTTACTATTTATTTCAAATCCAATCATGGGCGTACCCAGCTTTTGGTCCAGGGGGGGGGGCAAAACAGAAAGCTGCCCCCCCCCAGTCTCCCGCGCTTGTTTTTCCCTACACACTATATGAAGACTAAAAAAAATCCGAATGTCCATTTTTATTTAGCGGACACTTTTAATTATTTTTCAACAGATTGCACACTGCACGCGGCCAAGGCGCAAGATTGAATAGGTGTCCGGGTTCGAATCCCGGTCGGATACAAAGGTATAATTTATTTTTGTTTTTTTTTGTATTCATTCAAGTTTTTAATTTTTTTTTAAAGAAAATTGTACTTTTAACCAAAAACTCCGAGTGAAGCTCGGTGGCCCAGATACTATTTATTAATCCTTGATAAAGGTATTTAGGAATTACGAGTATAATAATGTTATAGTATCTTTATAAATTATCATGTGTAAAACCCCAAACACGAATCATCATCATCATCAATCATTAAATAATAGAAATACCTATATATATTCTGACTTTGCTTTATATTTTGAATCTATGTAAAATACCCACTTCATTATTTTTTTTATTTAATGTGACGTACTAAAAAATATAAAGCTAAATTTTAAGCTTACATTTATGTAACGTATTTTGTATTCTGTAGATAAAACATGAAACTACGAAGATTGAATAATTTATCAAATCATTTTATCACTTAAGCCACGAACGTCACTTGTAAATAATAATTAATCTATCTATACTAATATTATAGAGGTAAAGTTTGTGAGTTTGTGACATTGTAGGGGGTAATCTCTGGATCTACGTAACCGATTTAGATGTTTTGTAAGAAGATAGTTTGAGATCCTGTGAAGGACATACAGAATACTTTTTATGCCGGAAATCATCCCTTAAGGAGGTGAAAATGAGGATGAAAGTTTGTATTGGGAAGTAAGCCATTACTCCTACTATAATAAAACTATCTTCGAAATCGAAATCTGTACATGAAATATTTTTTTAAAGCAATGACTGTAACGTATTATCTGCACAATATAGACTACAAAAAAATATTTTTTTTTTGTCTGTATGTCTGTTTGTGGAAGCGCTTTTCACGCAAAAAGTAATGAACCGGTTTCTCCGAAATTTGGTGAAGTGATAACTTATTACTCGGGTCAACATTTAGGATAAGTACCTTTTACTTCAGGAAAATCTTTCTTTCCCACGGAAAAACACAATAACTGGTTTTATCGAATCGTCCATAGAAACCTTCTGCTGGCTAAACCTTAATACATACATCAAAACAATACAGTAAAAAATTGTTGGTATTAAAAGGCCTATAGAAAAATCTGTAATAGTATATGTATGTCTGTCTCCGAAGGTACACTCGCAATACCTATTCTTACATATAAAATAAGACTAACTTATTAAAATCGATGTGCGCGTTTCACGCAAAAAGTACCGATTGTACCTAAATTTTGTATAGTGATAACTTATTACTCGAGTCAACATTTAGAATACCTTTTACTGTCGCAAAATATTTCATTCCTACGGGAAAACAATAACTGGTTCTATCGAGTCATCCAAAGAAATGTACATGTCTAACGCTGGCTAAACCTTAAGAGATACATCAAAACAATGTACTAAAAAAAATAAAGGTCTTAAAAAGGTATACAGAAAATTTTGCAATAGTATATGTCTATCTTCTAAGGTACATTCGCAATAACAAATTTTATTATATATTAAAGGCAATGTCGCGGCAATTGACTCACTGACTCACTTATCAAGTTTCAGCCCAAGTCCAACTTTATCTATAATAGGCATACTAATATTAAATGCGAAAGTATTCTGAAAGAAGTCTGTCTGCCTGTCTGTTCGCTACCTTTTCACGCTTAATCCGCTGAACCGATTTAGATGAAATTTGGTATGGAAATAGTTTGAGACTCTGGGAATGATATTGGATAGTTTTCATTCCGGAAAACATATCATATATAAGGGGATGAAAAGGAGGGTTGAAGATTTAATGGGGATTTAATCATTTCTCAAGTAATGGACATATTTTTTTACATTAAATTATTTGATACATATATTTTTTTATGATTTTTTATAATCACCTAATTTTCTATTCCTATGTGTGTAGGTACATTGTACATATATACTCTATTCTATACTAACCAAGTATAGAATAGAATATATATGTAATGTTATATATATATATATATATATATATATATATATATATATATATATATATATATGTGTATTTATATAAAAGTCGCTAGTAATAATATATTTTAATATGAATATGCACAATTACATTTGGTTATTATAATTTTCATCATTTATTATTATCAAGTTTTTATCTATTTGATAGCTATAAAAGTAGTTGGAAGAATGAATACACACCACTATCACGAAAAAATGAAGACGATAGTAGTAGTGCTGTGCGTGGTTGCTGCGGTGGTCGCCAAGCCCTCGATAGTGAGGACTAAGGAGGAAATAGAAGCTTTCAGAAACTTCTTGGAAAGCACAAAAACTAGTAAGTGCTTGTTTTAGTGTAAGTATAAAACAAAATGGGTATGATTGGAGAATAAAAGTTGCAATAATCGTAAGAATCCGTGGAATAGCAATTAAAACATATTTGATGTATTTTATGGGGTAGAATATTGATATAATATGTTAGTAAGACAAGTTCGTGATTTATATTAACAGCTTTGAAAAGTGTTGTTTTTGAAGATAGCTAAACGGCGCAAACGCGCAAAGGTGGTCTAGGTTGGGATTGCAGAAAGTACTTTGTGCAACTTGAATATAAATAGACTTAGCTTTTTTAAAGTTTCGATAATGTGCCACACAAATGTCTTACTTAATGGTTTCGTATATTTTGAAAATTTTGTATTATGAAGTTGTCATAATAAGATTGATTGATTGATAATATATTGCTGTATCTAGAATCTATGTACATACAACATATGTAATTCATAACAAAATTAGAGACATGCGTGTATGTTTGCGATGTTCCTGCTGAAACGGCTGGACCGATTTGGATTAAGTTTTGTGCACAGATAGAGTATTGTTAGGCACATTGGGATGCACGTAAGCGAAGCGAAAGTATGTCGCAAGTTATTTGATAAAGTGAAAATATTTTTATAAAAACTAAATCGCTTTTCGTATAGATTAAAACAGTAATAGATAAATAAAATTGAATTGTCTGTTTGTAATGACAAACTATTTACTAAATGCAAATGAAATAATATACGGTAGGTACTTATAAGAAAAAAACAAATTTTAAAATTTTAGTCTGTCTGTCTGTCTGCTTGACCGATTTCAACTGGACTGTAACTGGCTGATAGCTGATGTTATAAAGAATAACTTAGTCTTAAAAACTAAAAAATTAAGTCGCTCTAAAATTCTACTTTTCATTTTAACAGGCGATGGACAACAATTCAACGCTCGTACCAAAATGTTCCCTAATGCGAATCCCGAGGAGAACAGCGGGAAATATCAAGGAGATATCATCCTAGATGATTATATGATTGAAACAATGTTGAGAGAATATGCCGCAGGTCGCAACGCGTTCATCCTACCCAACACTAAGTGGCCCAACAACACAGTAGTATGGGAATTCGGAGAAGATGAATTCGGTAAGCTCTTACAATGACTTATAACAAAATGGCCTAGACCAAAAAAATAATTTTTTGATATAAAAATTACTTAGATACTGTATTTCCACATAAGTTTAATGAAATGCGCTACATATGAATATTTTATTTCCTTTAATAATGTAATAAATGCAACAATTGTATGAAATATCTTTCATATTTTCTTGTCATTAATAGATACGAAGAAATATTTGTAAATTAATTACTACGCAAAAATAAGGATTATTCGTTTACGTCACACATATTGTAATTTATAAATGTTGCTAGAGATGCGCAGCTTAAATATAATAATATAGTATTAAGTAAATATTTTTTTAATATCCTTTACTTACACGCTATGCTATAAACTAGATAATTTACTTGGAATAAGATTTTTAACAAGTTTTTGTATATGCGATATAAGAATAATAACAAAAAGCATTTTTATTAAATATTTACTTAATTATCATTAATATTTATTAAAAAATAAAATCGATTTCCTTGCCATCCAAATCGACATATCTGTATGCAAAATCGAAATATATTCAAATTATACATACAAATGAAGAAAATAAAATTTTCATTGTGTGATTTCCAAAGAAAATAATATTATAATATCTATATTCGTAGATACAGATTAAAGTACAGTACAGTACCTGATGTATACTGAACCCTCATCTTAAAAATACAGCTCTTCCTATTTATTATCAAATCATAATCATTTTGAAATTGCAATAAATCGTGATCGATATTCTATAATCAATTAATTATCATACTGTGTGAAATACTAATATTGACGTACACACTTGAATGATTGTTGATTGATTAAAAAATGTATTCGTTGATCATGATTCATGTCATTACATAATCAAAATTTAATTTGATTTTATATTATTTTCGATACATTATTTTGTCATTCAAAGTCATTTTTATTACAGAAGAAAATTACTATTGAAATCAGTCTATACTACGTAATTTAAAATATATACCTACCTAGTTATGCGAACATAATTATCACTTTGGGCTACAGATATTTAAAAATATATATTTAAGACAATTAATTTCCGTCAGAATCAATATTTTACCTAATGGTTATACAGTTCGCATAATATGGTAATAGAAATGCTATGTTGGGAATTACTATGCATTACCATTATATGCATTGGTATAGTAGGGTAAAATAACACAGGAAATTAGGTACAGATTTTTTAAATCTTATGTATTGAGTCATATGAATTGGCATGCAACATGACATTTAAAAGTAATAAAAATTTATAGATACTGTACAGCTTTCATTATTTCGTTCATTAGTGTCTACCTATTTAACCACAAAATATTGTATCTGCTTTATTTGCGAGTACGTAAAGCAAAAAGCTCAAGCCAAGTAAATAAAACTTATCAATATATTTAGGTAGATTCTAAATTAACATCACAATCTATCCAAAATGTTAAAATGATAAATATTTAGGTTTTATGTATTTTTAAGGCAGAATCATAAAAAATGAAAATAAAATTTTTTGTCCAAATTTTTTTTTTTGGGGTAAACCACCCTTATCACTTAAGTGTATGAAAAATAGTTTACGTCCTATTCTCAGATCTACTCAATATAAGGTCAAGCCCTTTCGGAGGAGTTTTGTTACAAACACTGTGCAACGAGGATTTTATATTATTAGATATGTAAACGTCCAAGTGTTATCTTTTTTATGTAACGAATAAGCTTTTACTAATACTAAATAATTCCAATTCGAGAACTTAAGCATTTTATTTTTACCAACTGTTTCTATTTTGCTTTAGGACCCTTGCAGCAAGAAGCTATTTTGGATGCTATTGCTCACATCGAGAACATGACTTGTGTCAAGTTTCGTTACCGTGAACCTGAAGATATTGCCTACGTAAGACTTACGGTAGGTGTCTCTTATTTTATTTTTTATTCTTCTATAAATATAAGTAATATTTTACACTACGACACAAATCCCTTCACGCAATTCTTTATAATCAACATAATATAGTACTTATCTATATACGGATCTATGTATGTATATCGACGGTTCTAACAATTTGCATCAAATTTTGTATTATGACAAAGTTTTGCTTTTTAAGTTTATCTTTTTAGTATATTTTTAAGTGTGTCTTTCCTAAAAATTGAAATTTTTGTATCTTATCCGAAAAACACGATTTTATAAAACAAAACGTCGAGCGAAGCTCGTCGCCGAAGTACTTAGTATTTTATAAGTAAATCATTTTAGGGTATGCCTGCTGGTTGCTATGCTCATGTGGGCTACTCAGAGACTCGTCCAGTACGCACCATGAACCTTGCACGTAATTACCCAGGCGTGGGATGTTTCCGCCACGCTACTATCGTCCACGAATGGATGCACATCCTGGGCTTTTTACACATGCACTCTACATACAATCGCGATGACTACGTCAAAATCGTTGAAGAAAATGTTATGAGCGGTAAGATTAAATAATATTAAATCTGTTGGGACATTAACACAGCACCATCTAGTTCCATGGTAAGCTACGAGGCCTGTGTAATGCATACCAGATAGTTGATACACTACACATATATAACTTTAAATACATACATATTATAAATATAAACACCCATGATTGGAGTACAAACATTCGTGCTCATCCGACAAATGAATGCCTCCAGCGGGACTCGAACCCGCGACCGCTGGCACACCTAGTAGGGTCACTACAAACTGAGCCAAACGTGTCGTGTCGATAAATCGGACTTACTATTATAAATGCGAAAGTTTGTATGTGGTGACTGTGTGTATATTTGTTTCTTACTCGTTTATGCTGAAGTGGCTGGACGTTATTGAATGAAACACGGTACACGGTTAGATTACGACCTATTGATGCACAGCTAGTAAAGCTCAAGCTGCGCTGATGAAGCACAGAAGGGAAGTTGCTAATTATAAATAAAACTAGAAAACCTAATGAAAACACATTTACAATATAAATATTCTCGATGATCGTTGCAACAATGCAGCTATGTTTTAAGCCTATCTTATATATCTTAATAGAAACCTTGAGCCATTTATTAAACACTTGATAGGCAAAGTGATTTTTAATAGTAATTTATGTGGTAGTAGATTTAATCAGATCATTACTTTCTGAGGTTATAACCAACATCAGAAACTCAGGTCTACCTATTTATTATAATTTTAATTTAGAAAGATATTCTCTAATAAGTTTGGCTTTATTAAGTGTAACTAAACTATATGTTATGATTGTTTCCGAAGTCTTTTTATTAAGTTCATACAGAAATATTTTTGCTAAGCCCTAAGTATTAATTAGATCTAGGCAAAAAGAAATTAGAGATGGAAGGAGAGATTGAATGATTTGAATTGAATTGATGAATATGATTGAATGAATGAAATTAATGACTCTACAAACAGGAGTTTATTTCGTTCATTATAATATTACTAATATTAACAAACCTTATATTTTTAGGAACTGAACATAATTTTGATATCTTTGGTCCTGAATTAGTCAGCAACCATGGTGTTGAATACGATTATGTAAGTTGTTTGCACTACGGCCCCTATGCATTCACTTCTAACGGCGAACCTACAATTATTGCACTAAAAGTAAGTATTGCATTTCTCTCTTCTATCCAAAAATATTTTATTTTGTAATAATTTATAACGCTATAATACGCATTTAAGTGAAAGCTTTTTTAAGTACAAGAGCACTTTGATATTTGGAGTCTTGTTAAACTTTATCGGCTTTAACTGATTTAGCATATTGACTGTAGCACAAAAGTCATATACGATTACGTAAGTAGTTTAAGGATATTTTATCACATATACATGCCGTAATTATTAATTATAATTTATAATCTATGTATGTAAATTATAATTTTTTATTTCTAATATCTTTAAAGATAAAGTGTAAGATGATAATTATATTGATTATCTACTAATAACCTTCTAAAGTGCTTTAAATTATTATAAGGTCGAAATACAATATGTAGGTATAATTAAATACTTAGTACTAAATAACTGAATGTTGTGCAGGAACACGAAGGGCAAATGGGTCAGCGAGAGTTCATAACAGATAAGGACTGGCTAAGAATCAACAGGCATTATGACTGCCCCGGTGCATGGGATTGAACTATGGTTTATGAACAATATAAATAAATAATAAATTATTTGAAAATACTTGATGCTTAATTTATTTCATTTTATTCATTCCATGGAGCAAGAATAATTATTAATCGACAAATATTAATTTATACATAAATATTATGATATTTAAATGATGGGAAATGTTCCTATTGTCGTGTATGTATATTGTATGCATACACGACAATAGGAACATTTCTCATCATTTTATAAATTGAACAGATTTATGTATTACCTTGGTCATGTCTAATCAAATTCTGATTAAAATATAATATGATAAAATAACAAATATGTTATTAGCAATTTGTATAGAAAATAGTAGATTTTTTATACTCGCATAAAATTTTAGTAAAATCGAGAACACTAGTGCTATTCCGTAAGAACTTTTATGTAACTTAAAAATCTTTCAGTTTATTGAAGTGAAAACTTCTATAAACAGGTTTAGATGGGGGGTAAATTGATGTAAGTCGTCACCGATATGACCACGTGACATATAACGCTACACTCAGAGTGCCGATAGATGTCAAAACCAGATAAATGTAAACAGTTTTAATTTACAAATTTTTATTTAAGATCAAACAATTAATTTGAATATCCAAAAAACTGTTTGTTTATAGTTTTAAGTTTTCACTTCTGTCGGCAGTCCTCATGACTGCTTTTTTACAGTTGTGTGAAATTGGCATATTTAGAAATTCTTAAAGAATAGAAATACAGAACTTTGCTTTTATCTTTTGTTTAGATTATTATCATTATATTACAAAAATTTTACTATAATTAGTTGAAATTTTGAAAATCACAGAAACCTATCTAGTTAATATTGCGTGGTTTATTTTTTGCTTTTTGACTACCGTTTGCTTTTTTCGGTACTGGCAAAAGAGCTCTAATAAAGTATTATTTACAAAACATACACGCTTAATTTTTTTAAGCTGTCCCCGAGGAGCAATGCGACCTTCATGTTGTCGGAACATGTGACGGCTAAGGTTTAGGGTGACCACGAAATCATGTTTTTATTTAAATAGGTACTAAAAGTATTATACGCATATAACTTGCCTAAAATATTAAAAAAAATCATTTAGAAAATAATACATAATAATAATTATATCTACTGACTTTGCTTACCATCTTTATTAGACACAGAGCGGAGTTTTATTTTTACCATATAAGTAGGTAAATATCTAAGTAGGTAAATTATTTAGGTATTACTTTTTTGTTTATTTTTTTAAAGCATCTTTAAAATAATTTAAACAACAATTTTTACATACCTACATAATTTTACACGCAGTTCACGTTTTACTAAAATGTTTAAATTTACTCATAATACTCCTTCAAACTTTTTCCTCCACTCTGTCAACGTGGGATAATTTAATAACATTACTGTAACTATTAAATTAACTAATATTTATTACAAAACTAATTTCACACTTATATATTTCGCGGTTTTATTAGATAAATTTCAGTTATATATTACTGTCTCTAAATAAAATAAAATAAACATATGGTCACATTAGTTATACTTTGATGTCGACGCATCATGAGCTACTTACCGCTGTCGCCGTAAATATTGTCAGGACAAATTTCCACTCTTTGAAATCTCGCCACTATACGATGTGACGATTTAATCGGATTTATTACGCTAACTACATGAATGAAATAATGGGGTATAAAGCAATAAAATTGTCGTTTTGTTTGCACTAAAAATAAGTGACTTGAGTTAAAAATTTCAATATTAAATTTTAAATTAAATCATAAGATATATTTAAAAAGTTATATTATAATTACTTCATGTCAACGTAATTTTTTTTTTAAAAAGAACTTCGCCCTATCCCGATCCCTCTATTAGAGCAATAAAATTATTGCTTATATTTTTATTAGGTCATGGCTAACTTTTATTCTCAATGTCTTTTGTTAATTGTCTCTACTGTTGAAAAGAGTCTGAAATAAAATATTCATATGCAACCATAACTAAGAAAGCTTTTTATTGTTGAGCTTTTAGAACATTTCCGAAATTTTATTTACTGGTTTTTTTAAAGAATATAGAATAAAGAATAGGTACTTACATATGTTACAGATTTGTCTACCTTAGAAAAATACACAAATGTTTTATTAATTATGTCACTAGAAGTAGACTATGATCTGAACGTAATAAAGAAATCACTATGACTTTGACAGGTCACGGTCCGATGTATCAACTGACAGTAGATGTCGGTCTGTCGGCGTGATCTCTGAAACTGATACCCTCCGGCAGAGGGTGGTCGCTTATTTAAGAAGATTCGGAGAATCTGCTTTGAAGTATAGGATTACCTATCGCGTTTATTGAAAGAAATATGTCTTTAGATATTTAAATTTGTAATAAAACATACAAATAAATATATACAACTAATTATTATTTTAAAATTATATCATAATTCGTATAATATGATTTTAAAATAATTAGTCGTCGAATAATATCGTTCGGATTATAGTCGCCCTAACCATATTGATTTTAATTCTGTTGTTTTATAGCTAAAAATTTCACAAACAAAAACAAACTAAAAGTAAACAAATTAAAAGTTACCTACCTATACAAGCAAACCTACCAAAGTCTATCATTTTAATCTATATGCAAGATTTTTAAATATTAACGGTATTTATGTTTTGCATCAAATCACTGGCTGTTTGCGCCGACAATGGAAGTCCGATAAAAAATTAAACAAGCCGCATTTAAAAAAAATAAGAGGGACTGTCAAAATTGAACCACTTTAATTCCCTAAAGACTGCCACTAGCTTGACATAGAAAACTGTAAATCGAAGTGGGTTACATTGACAGGCTCTTAACGAAGCTGATAAATAGATAAAGCTCGTCGTAAAAAAGTGTCAAAGTTTAACGACATCACGCACGTAAAAAGTAAAAGGACGTCCCGGTCTTACTATTTTTACTGTAGAGACTGTTTTCAATTAAGATTATAGTTATGCGTTCACAAATTATACATATCCTCAGGAAGCATTATTTTTGAACTTTTTTAAGTATCCACAGAAAATTTGTCAACGATGATAAAACATTAGATAGTGAAAAATCTTTTTTTTTTGTAAACGTAGAGGTTTACTTATTTGTACTGTTACTGTAAATTATTATGAGTATACAGTATCCAATGATAAAATCGTGATGTATGTTAATTAAAGACATTTAAAGAAATATTTTTATCTGCTTGTTGGATAAAATTTAATCAATAATATGGTTTACAATTATTTTTTTTTGTTTTTAAATCAGATATACCAATTTCTTATGTTTATTTCTTGTGTGAATCGCGATATCTTTTCATATTTCATTACCTCATAAACTGAATGTCAAACTTTTTAGGATAGTTATTAGTATAGTGTGTGGCGGATTTTTGTAGCAATATTAAATGATATATATTAGCCATATATTATTTTCACTCAGGTATAAGTACCTATATATAATCACTTGATAAGCGTACATTGCACACTTTTTTTGCTGACTTATAAAATTACCTAATACCATCAATGCTCAGCTTCTATAAGTTCTAAAGTAATTTTAAATTTACAGCTCTCTTAGTGGAGACTGTAGGATAAACGCTCGCTGGGAGCTTTATTTTAGGAAATTGTACGAATACTATAATTCTATATATAATCTATACCTACAGTAATCAAGTTAAAATGGCTTATTAGATTATCAGATTTTAGCATTTGCACAAATCACATAATACTATACTAGTGCGAAAGCCGTAATGGTAATAGCTTATATTCTAATGTTATATGCATAATACTTTATATCGCTATATATATATGCTACTTTAAATCCTTCCCTCCTAGCCGCAGGCAGAAAATATTTAATTAACTTATATACTTTGAATCAATTGCTTCATTATCAATATTTTTAAATCTATTTAAAATAATCATATAATGACGTTTTAATAAAAAATAATGTTATCGAAACGAATAGATAAGTATATTGCTAATATAAATTATAACGTATCTAAAATCAACTTTTAATTTCTCGATTTACTGTGATAGAGTACTTATCTGCGTCACTATAGTAATTAAAAATACCCCAAAAGGTATGAAAAGATATATTGTTATAGAAGAAATTATTATATAATTGCTTTAATATATGAAAAATTCTATAAAGGATTTTATGACCCGACGGCTGGCGCCTCTAAACAGCTCTTCCGGATACGCGCGTCGCAAATCGCACGGCCCGTTAACTTTGAAAGTCATTAATTTAGTAAAAACATCCACACTGAGTGCTTAGCGATGAGGCAGAAAGCAACAATGATAAATACTCGTAGTTTGACAATTATATGTTTTTCCAAAAAAAAAACATATATTGATTTAAATAATTTAGTAAACAAGTAGATATAAATAATAAATCTAAATGATTCTAAATTTTAGATATTCAGATTTTTATTTCTTTTAGATGTTAGTTTGAATTGTAATTTAAGATTTTTGTTTCTATTATATTTTAAGCTAGTGGATTGATATGGAACTTAGGAAAAGTAGAAGCTGTTACAGATTTTTCAAATATCGCTGAATTTTGGTTGGTGCCTTCTTTGATGTAGTCTCCTTGTATGATCATTGAAAAAATGGGCAGTGCCAAGTCTCAATGGTATCATTCTCCAGTTATATTTAATTTTCCGCATCATTTCTCAAAGTAACAATTCTATTTAAACACTAATTAAATATTTTAAGAATTTTTCGTACCGACGTTAAAATAAACTCTTAATTAATCGTTGGGGTGAAGCGTTGCGTGAATGCGACGTGAGTGATGGCCGCACTGAGTTGCGGTAATTGTGATGCGCGCGCGCATATGTATTGACATCTTTTAACATACGATTATGGACAAATCCTGATAAAAAATTTACATGGGTGCTTATAACATAATTGCTTAAACTTATGAAGGTCGAAATTATGTATTTAAATATAATAATATCAGTTACTTATAAGACATTTAAATAAAAAAATAGTTGCTCAAAAGCACCTAAATTTCTAAATAAATATTTAAAAGTAGGTACTAATAGACATTCTTAAATATACTTTTGCGTATATTATGTTTTGAGAATCACGTCTAATTATTATGAAACTAAAACTTTAAATAGTTATTTAATATTTTAAGAAGTGGATAAGGAATTTATCCATAAAAATTTATAGCCATAGCTACCATACCGGATGATGTTTTGACAAATGATCGTGTTCACGCATTATTGGGCCTACATCCCTGCAAGATGAACATGTACAATATAGACCACCGTAGCGAAAATATGCCAAACGTGAGTTTTATGAAATATAGTCTGAACTCTACATTGTGCTAATTAATTTTTTTTTAAATATTAGTATTGTTTAAACAAACATCGATTTGAAATTGTATTTTGTTTTGTCTTAATCGAGCTTGTAACATTAACTTTTTTTTAAATAATATTTAGTAGCAAATATTACCAGCAACTTGGATTCCAACTCTTCTGAGGCGAACTGATTTGACTTATCCTCGCTTCTCTCACTTCCCTAGGGGTCTAGAGTTACTCCAAGTCATAATCTATTTGTATACAAAATTTCATCTAAATCTTTTCAGCTGTTTTCGTCTGAAGAAGTAACAAACATACACTCATTTATTATAAACACACAAATTTTCGCATTTACAAGAGGAGTCAGATTACTTCTAAATTCATATAATACGGGAGCACTTGCAGGCTGCTTAAGCACCAATTTATTCTAACTTTAGGTATTTATACATATATTTTTATCTTTCTACAAAATATTTTTGGCTACAGACTTTTCATTAAAAAGGTAATATACCTAGTACAGACGCATGTATACATATTAATTAAAAATAGATTTTTGCGCGTTTTTTTACTAAAAGTATTACTTAACACGTTCGCTGCATTACGAGATCTATCAGATCTCTTGCAGAACTTTTGTATTGTGCGTTGACTATAATCGTGTTGTTTCACTCCTTGCGGGAGGCTCTAACGTGTAAAGTTCTTTAAGTATGAGTAAGACAAATATACATATTTGCTTCCTACTTAAAGGTGAATTCGAGGACATAAAAAAAAATAAATAGAGATGGATTAGGTCCCTACCGCACAGTATTTATAATTATTTTTATTCCTTGCGTTAGGAGACATGTCGATACTCGTGGAAAAAAATCGTACGCCTCGTAGACGCAAGAGAGGGAAGGGGTGGGCTGGCGCGGGCGCTGTGTGAATCGATTTAGTGTTGTCCTAGTGTCGATGTGGGAGGTTGCGCGCACGTTTCGAAAAAGTGTAAAAAAAAAATTTTATTTAATATATTTTATTTATTTATTTATTAAAAATTGTTTTATTTTGGTGAGATTTCTAAGAATTGAAAAATCAACGCTGGATTATAGTGGGCATCGTCCAGTATAATTTACAATGTTGGAAAATATAATGCTTTTTTATTACAGAATTCCCCGAAGGAAGATGTACAGAACATGTTTTCCAACGTGGCAACAAGAAAAGACGTTGTGTGTGTTGTTTATGAAAAATTACGACGCCCACATTAAACAGCACTGACGCTTCTAAAAAAGCTAAAAGATTGTTACTATTTGCGCGCAATGCAAACAATCAATGTGTTTACCATGTTTTAATGAAAAACACTTTGCATAGTTTATAAATAAACTTTTTTAATAAAACTTTTTCAATCGATAACTGAGATATTTTTTTATTCCCATCACTACTTACTACACATATTGAACTATCTTCGGTTGCGGTACGAGATACAATCGATATCTAATTTTTTTTTGGTATTTGTAATTTATTCTAATGTCATAACTGCGTGCGAACCTAGCAAAATGTAGAGCAATAGGATCTCTTGACCTACAAAAAATTTAAAATATATGTCATTAGTTTTGTGGAAGATATACGTTATTTTCAAAACTGTATTTTTAGGAGACTGATTAGGTCTCTAACGCACCAAAGGGTAGGTTAGTTTCGAGATCTTTTAGGTCTCCAAAGCACCAGCTGAAAGTTCTTTAAAAATGGTGACGCAGTGAACGTGTTAAAAAGGACTTTTAGTAAATCATTATAGAGCTGAGGTGTCTATTCTACTTATGAGTATTGAACAAATTTGAAACCTTTTAATAAGAGTTGAAATAACAGAAAATATGATCACCATTCATTTATGTACAAATATAATTTAATAACAAACGCTTTAATGTCTATACGTCTTATTATTAAAGAACAAGACAAGATTAGTGCGTTCTCGTTACGCGCCTGCGCAAACGAGCGCGCCGCCGACAACTGTCAACCCCAATTATGGCCGCCATGACACTTTCGCGCGCTTGCTTTTGAATATAGAACGTTGGGCCTACTGGAATTTAATTCTTTAACTGCTTTGTTTGTTAGAAATGTCGTGTATAAGTTTATAGTACTAATATTTTTAGAATACTGCTGTTATTTAATAAACGATCAACTCTCAAATAAAGAGAAATAGATAATATATGTACCTATTACCTAATAATGATATAAAGGAGAAAAGGGTGTGTTTTTGATTGTAGTAGGTAAACTTTGAAAATACTGATTCCAATTCTAAAACTCATTTAGTAATAAGATATTTCATGATGTGGTTCCTAGGAATTAATACTATATTGCAAAACCTAACTAAACGTACCGTGAGCTGTAGGAGCTAAACTGAAATATAAAAAAAGGCCTTAAACTCCAAGGAAATCAACCAACTACTACTACTACTACTACTTGTGTTATATCAAGACATCTCCATTTATGCAATACCTTATCTCATCAGAGCCCTTTTCAAAGTACCTACTTAATAGTTGTTTTCTTCAATATCATCTAATAAAACGTCTCGTTTTAAGATGTGGACTGACGGACAACATAAAAATTAAAAATAATTACTTCTGAGATTCTTTATTCTTTCACTGAATCACATATTATATAATAATAATATAGTCTTTCTTTTATTCTTTAAATCTTTTTGACCTCTACCTCTCCTTTTTTACCTAAAAATACAGGTATCTTTCAATTTGGGTGTACTGACATTATTTTATCTGTTTTACGCGATATTTTCAACTATCATTGTTCGGACTTTTCTATTCTAGTCTTCTTCTTTCATTGTTAAAAATAAGTTCCAAATAAAAACAAAGTTGTCTAATTAATTGTTAAGATATTTTTGAAGTTGGTAAACCTTTTACATAAAATTATAAATTAATTAGTAATTACCTACCTAAACATAAACGATCCTTACCTATAATGTAATTCCTCGAGTAAAATAATACTAGCAAGAAAAATAAATTGGTAAAAGAAATTTAATTTTCTTGCATGATAGAGGCACATTAATTTTCATTTATATTAAGAACACATATATATCAAAAAAATCTTTTGCATCTTTATTTTAGCCTTAATTTGACAATTTATTATAATTTTATTTAAAGTTATAATGTAGTGTAGAGCGCCTGGCAGTCGGCATTACAGACGTTTTTCGAGATTTTACACTAATTCGATGCGACGTGTTCGTTTCTATTCCCGGCTTGGCACAGCCGGGAATGCAATACGACGGAAATCTCAAAAATTAAGTGAGTATGTCATTTCAATACAGACAAAACTATTTTCTGATATTAGATAGTTATTGTGAATGAAATTCCTTTTATCTATAAAATGAAATATTAGAAATTGTAATAAATTGCTAACATTGGGGCTAAGAACAAGAAGAAGGAAAAAATAATAATAAATAAATGGATACCTACCTAAAGTTTTTGTAATAGATAGGCCCTATACATCAAGATTCAAATTTATATTATTTTATATTATAAAGAACAAAATTTCATCGCTTATGAAGAAGAGTATACCTATCGCAGCATTTTCTAAAGATTTTAACAGCGATTTTTTTAGCGTAGGTACTGTTATCTGTTCTTTTCTAAATGTACCTACATCTAAATCCGACATCATAAAAACAATTTTTTCGTTCGCACTCCTGCACATAAACTTTTCAAAACCAATTATATAAAAACTTTATGTTAATTTTCTAAACTATAAATAATATGAGTTGACGTGTCAATTATTGTGACTCAAATTGTTTCCCTCTCAAAGTTTTTTTTTTGGGCGGGAAAAGAGACCACGCCTCAATTTCAAGCAGATTTGAGATCGTTGTATGTTGAAACACCCATTTGAACAGATACGTTTAGAAATAGATTCAAATACATGAAGTTAAAGTTTATTTTAGATAAATTAATTGAAGTGTTAAAATTACGCAGTATCTACAAACCTGAGTTCTATAGGTATAGAAATAAAGGATACGAGTTTTCTTCATTCGCATTGTGGGTGTGTTCAAAGGGATGTTTACAAGGTATTTTTTGTTACACACATGTTGTTATTGGCATCACGTAGCCAAGAAGCCAGATCACGATACAGACTCCATTAGTTCGCACATTAGGCCGAGTTAGTCGAATTATTTAATTATAGTAATTCAATAAGGTAGTGAATTAATAACAATTATTTAAATTTCTATCGAAGTTGAACTGGACGTCGATGTTTGTGTAAACAAAGTGTGACGTTGTTGAAAATGAAGAAAAATTTGATTTTAATCAGCAAATAACGAATTTAAATTTAAATTATAAGTGTTGTAATAGTTTGTACGATTAGGATGGATCAAAATAAAGGTAAGTTGTCAGATAACATAAAAATCCATATTATTTTCTTTGAATGTGCGCCTACGCATCTGTTTATTTTACGTAATACCTCGGGAAATATTTACATACGTATAAGTAATATGGTGTGCCGTTATATTCCTATATTATGGATGGAAAAAAATGTTTTGGTCTTTATATAAATATATTGTCAATGTTTCAATGGATGCACTTTAGTTAAAATTACCTAATCAAAATTAATTTATTTTGAGGTAAATATAGCAGGGGTGCTTTGGTCTTTTAAAAAAAATCTTTGTACTGGCTTAATGTTTAAAGTAATCTTATATGCTTTTAAGTACACACTAAGACAATTGATTGTAGCTTACAAGTATCGAAATATATTTGCTTTTAGGAAAAAAATAGCTGTACACACCTACCTACCTATATAGAAAAATCTAAAATACAACTAATTCCTTGCCAGTTAAGGTGGATACTTAACCTCTACCCATCCAAACCAGATTATTTATATAAGGTTATCTATTTGTACTAATTAAGCTGTTAAAAAGAATATTAAGCCAAGCTGGGCTTAGTATTTTGTTACCGTTAATTTTTTTTGCTTTCATTTTATTTGTGCCCTCCTTTTTTGACCTCCGAAAGAGCTAAATATGTAGGTACACTAAGACCCAGAGAATCTCCACACGGAAATAATAGCGGGATAAAAAAACTTTTTAACAAAAAAATAAAAACCGACTTCAAACAAAAGCACTAAAAAGTGAAAAATAACTGATTGGTAGTTTTCATTTACTATACATACCTAATCAAATATTTTCGAAGTCGGTGTGCTTTGCTTCGTATGGGCTGGCACCGATTTCGAAAATATTTGATTAGGTATGTATTTAATAGGTAGGCTTTAATTACTTAGCCAAAGCACACCGACTTCGAAAATATTTGATTAGGTATGTATAGTAAATGAAAACTACCAATCAGTTATTTTTCACTTTTTAGTGCTTTTGTTTGAAGTCGGTTTTTATTTTTTTGTTAAAAAGTTTTTATTTTTCCCTTTTTAGTGTAGACAGTAAGGCAAGGTAAGTAAGCAAAGTAAGGATTCTAACGTGTTAGGCTTGTCAAATCAAACAAAATAAGCCCAAACTCAAAGTATCTACTATTAGCCGTTGAAGAGTTCCACCTATCCACCTTCTGGCCTTGCCATCAGATCAGGTCTACAACACCGAACCACTGTACTATCAACGAAAATAGAAATACTTGCAAAGTTTCAAGTCAATATGACAATTAGAAGTAGGTTAAATTCATTATTAGTTGTTTTTCCACCCTTAGGGGTGGTATTTTTTTTTGAAATTTAAATGGGACCAATCTGGAAGTATACCCTTTCAAACAAAACAAAAATTGTCCAAATCGGTTAATAAATGACGGAGTTCTGAGGTAACAAACATAAAAAAAAAAAAAAAAAAAAAAAAAAACATACAGTCGAATTGAGAACCTCCTCCTTTTTGAAGTCGGTTGAAAAGGCAGAAAAGCATGGCATGATCGATTTTAACGGGATTGTCAGTGTCGGGTAGAGCATTGGTTTGAAAGCGACATAAGGCCCTGTTATCGTAAGAAACAACTAACATCAAAGAAAAAAATCTACACAGTAGGTAGTTATACTAAAAGGAGTTTTCTTACAAAGTAGGTATTTACAATTCATGCACAATATGAACGGTATTTGCCTACTTGAGTATTAAGCTCAAAAAAAATTTTAGGAGATACCTAACCCCACATTTTCTTACGCTACAGTTTTTGACCAACTTCACAAAGGTACTTACTAGGCTAGGCTTTTTGTGATATTTAAAATTCTTATGATTTTTAAAATTTTCACAATTCTTTTTTATAAAATAGGTTATTGCTGTGCCTCAAGAATGGCCCTATATACAATTTAAAAATGAATTCCACTCCTAAGTGATTTTAAAGTCAGTGTATTTTTTGGAGTATCTCAGTAGACATTTTCCCTTTGTGTCTAATCTACACGACTAGACAATCATACCAACTGTGAAATAACAATAGATAGGTAGGTTTTTTTTTCATTTTTGTAGAAGAAATGCTGTTGTACTCCGTTCCTCTTCATTGAATTTAGAAGTAGGTATTACAGTACGAACTACATAATTTTTGAACTTTGTAATTGTATTAGTCACACTGCTTTTTCTTTGTCATCACAATGAACCGATGCATATACATATTACAAACTAATAGTCAAACATTCGTTCATATCGAGAAATATAATTTATATATGAAAAATATATTTATAAAATATTAAAAGTATTTAAATTAATTGCACGTGTAAATTTATAATGTTACAGAGCGCAAATCCCTAGTAACAATGATACACACACGCCGCCCTTCGAACCGTGTGCAATTCAAAACAACGTCTTTTTGTCTTCGTATTAACTAAAGTAAAAGGATATATCGACATCAACCTTATTTAAGAGTTGCATCACTATATTTACATTTTATGTATTTATAACAATACTAGAAAAACAAAAACGAATCTATTCCACGGGAAACGTACATTTTTCTAAGATAAAAAGTAGCCTATACGTTATTCTGATGTATGAGCTATATTATTGTAAAGTTTCATTAACATCCATTTAGTAGTTTTTGCGTGAAAGAGTAACAAACATTCATACATCTACACATCCAGATATCTATATATCCTCACAAACTTTCGAATTTATTTTCGGATTATTAGTAATCCTACTAACCTCATGTCCATGCCGCCACGTCTTCTATCAATATCTTAAAACTCTAACTATCAGTTTTGCAGTATAGTTTTAAAAATAAATCTATCTTAAGCGATCTTCTCGTTGAATCTCTATTAATTCATCCTTCCTAAACTTCCTTTTCTTTCAACTTTCGAAGGCTTCAAGTTCAATGGAAGGTGTTGAGTGATTAGATTTCAGGTAAATTGTTAAAATATACAATTAAAATAATCCGAACATTTCAATTGATCGCACGTGTGTAATTGATAGTGTTTTAGAGCATAAGTCCGACAGAGACAGTCGAAGCGTGTACAATTTGAACCAGCTCTTTGTTTCTTTCTTAAGACTCACGTATCTACCTACATAAAAAATCTAAATACTCTTAGACAACAAAAATAATCCTAATCTATATTTTTAATAAATAATTTAACTTAGAAATTGTATAAGTATAAACAATTCGTAAAATTGTTACAGACATTCACAATTCTGGAAAACACGATGTAATATCAAAGAATTATGACGCGAAAACACAGTCACAGTTAAATTACAATATAAGCTCAACGAACTATCCAGAGAACAACCATAACCTTTTCCAAATGATTAAGTGTCATGAAGATAGCTTATTACGTCTACATCATTTGACTGCTGGACGGCAAATCAATGGCACCTATGAAAATAATTATCAAAACGATATATCTTGGTACCCAAAGGACTTTCAAAGACAATATATAAAACCAGTTGATTATTTGGCATACGAGGATATGAGGCGAAAATTTGACGAAGTCAAAGGTAAAGAAAAAGAAGTGCGAAAGGATTTAGAAGATGAAAAGGAGGGAAAAGTAGACGATAGGAAAAAGCCCAGAAGAAACAGAACAACGTTTACAAGTCAGCAATTGGCTGCGTTGGAAAAAGTTTTTGAAAAAACACATTACCCTGATGCTTTTGTTAGAGAAGATCTAGCATCACGTGTTAATTTAACCGAAGCGAGAGTGCAGGTAAAAAATTAAAATAGTGTCCATAAAGTATATTAGATGCTACTCATTTTTTCGTTCATAAAATATGTAGGAACTTACAATTATAAACAACTAGAAGAACCCGCGGCTTCGCTCGCGCTAAAACTACAATAATAAACTTTAAAAAGGTAGGTTTCACACAAAAATTTATTTAATTGTAATGATAAATATTTTTTGGGATGTATTATAACGTGTTTTCCCGCAGGATTGAGATAATCTCCCTGTATAAAAGTAGCCTTAGTCACGCTCCAGCCTTCCAACTATCTCCAAACAAAAAATCACGCCAATACGTAATTCCGTTTCGACGTTAAAAAAAGGACAAACAAACTTTCACATTTATAATATTAGTATGGATATGGAAGTATGGATTATGTATTTCAAAGCTATAATACTTTTCTTCTATAAAATTTATTTAAAGTAATAATACAATGTGTATAATAATTTAACTATTTTATGCAACAGGTATGGTTTCAAAACAGACGTGCCAAGTTCAGAAGGAATGAACGGTCTGCTTTATCGTCACACAGAACGTCAACAAGTCAAAGCTCCCCAGAACCTATACCAGTTCCAATAGGCATCGCTCAAGCAGACCCTCGACAAGAATTCAATCGTAACTCAAAAGAACCTTGGATACATCATTTTCAAGCAAATAATTTAAACTTCAACCTTGGCTTACCTATTGCAAATTCAGGACTATATCAAAATGATTATACACTAATGATGCAGAACGTAGGAAACAGACAATATGTCTCTAATACAAACAGTCTCATGGGACAAAATATGTCAAACTATGCAAGTACCTCCGATAATAGCTATGGGTCTTGTGCTCTAATAGGAGGTTACAGTGGCACACTTCAACCAGCACATCATAGTTCCTATAATTTAAATCTCAGGCTGAGACCTCATGATTTTAGCATAATATAGCTATTTAGTATTATAATGGATTATGTACTGATAATTGATAATTATTTATTGCAGTCGGAAAATAATAATTCAATAAAATGTGTAATAAATGCAATTTTAACAGTTAATGTAATTTATTTATTTATTAATTAGATTCACCAGTGGTTAGTTACAATAATATAATTTATTTTATACGAGTACAATTTTTTCAAGTTTTTATAGCTAATTGCACTACCTTTTAAGGTGAATTAAGTATTATATTATAGTGAAGGACATTTTATAAAATGTTTATATTATATCTATGTTACAGTAATAAAATTACTATTATAAAATATTAAATTAAATAAATAATAAAATACACTAACACAATTAAATAACACACAAAAATGGAAAAAGATTACAATTCGAATTAAAAAAAACCCAGGAAGAACCACAAAATAAATTATAGGTATTTTTTTACATTTTTTTGGAACATAGGCAACGTGTCTCCGAATGGATCCAAGGTGCTATTATTATTTATAATATTACAAAAACGTGACAAGGGAGAGTGATTACCTAAAACAGATCTGCGAGAAGGTGCTACGAGAATGCTGATCGGCTTTCGTGGACACCTAGGCACTTTTAGATTAAAAGATGATACTAGTGATGGATTGTCATATATACTGTTAATAGTTTTATATAAGAAACTTAAATCCAATATATCTCTTCTTTTTTCTAGACTAAACATCCTAAAATACGTAAGCCTTTCTGTATAAGTTGCAAGTGATCTAGATTTGCCCAGTGAGAAAGCCAGATGATATAAAAACGCTTTTGGAGCCTTTCAATTCTCAAACAGTGGGTAGCAGATTGGGGTCTCCAGACAACACTTCCATACTCCAAAATACTCAAAACTAAACTTTTATATAGAGTAATTTTTGTTCGAATACTTTTAAATACCTTACAATTTCTGATTACGAACCCTAACATTTTACTTGCCTTACTGACAATACTATCTATATGTGGTACAAAAGTAAGTTTTTTGTCAAATAGAATACCTAAATCTCTGATAATATCTACAGTACTCAAAGGCATGTCATTCAAATAATATTTTGTACTTATATTTGTTTTTTTCTTCGTAAAGGTTATGTGGAAACACTAACTTGAGTTCAATATCATACCATTTAGCTTACACCAATTATGCAAGCTAGTCAAATCCTTCTGTAGTGAATTAATATCATTAGGATTATTGATAGTTTAAAGAAGTTTGAGATCATCTGCAAACATAAATGGCGTGGAGCAAGAGAAGCAATTTGGCAAGTCGTTTATAAAAATATTAAACAGGAGTGGACCTAAATGCGATCCTTGGGGTACTCCAGAAGTTATGCTGCATTTTATAGATTCGAACCCATTAGCCACGACGTAGAAATGTAATATATGAAATGTAATATATGTGTAATTTCATTGATCACTCTCACATTTTATTTTATTTTCATTGTGCTTATAAGGTGCTAGCGACTTACGCTCGCTTTGCTCGGGTTGGTATCTAGCTTGCTTCCCAATACAAACTTTCATACCCATTTTCACCCCATAAGGGATGATTTCCGGGATAAAAAGTCCTATCCTATGTCCCAGTCCCAGGGTCTCAAACTACCAAATTTCATCTAAATCGATTTAGTAGATCCAGAGATTACCAAACTCAACAAACTATACCTCTTTATAATATTAGTATAGATGAATTAAAAAGTGAGCAAGAACAGACCTATGTTCTGTATCATTTTAATTTGTGTAGCGGCCGTAACAATTTTAATATAGCATTTAAAAAATATAAATACCAACTACAGTAGAGACTCGATGATCCGGCCCTCAGTTATACGGATTCGCGATTATCCGGACTACCCATGGCGATCAAATAACTATACAAGTCGAATCTATACATGCACGGACAAGTCGGAACTGGCGACCGCCCGTACCCACCCTCACCCTGCGCGTTCGCTGTCGCCGCGTTTTTGTTTAAGTTATAGTTACCAATCGTTACTCCGCTGTGTCGTGTGCACTGACGAGGCTTAAAAATGTGAATGCGTAAGAGAGTGGTGTTATCGCATAAAGATAAAATAAATTTTGATTTGTCTTTAGTTGATTTTAATTAAACACCAACATTAAGTATTACGTAACATGTACGAAAACCGTTTTTTTTTCATACATTCGATTATCCGGATTTTCGATTATCCGAATGCCTACCAACAACAATTAGTCCGGATAATTGAGTTTCTACTGTACTGAAGTATTACTATTCCTGAATGTGGGTGAAGACGCTGCGGGTTACCATTATGGGCGCTGAAGGTAGTAGAACAAAGTGGACCTTGAAAAAGTTATAATTTTATTCTTTGTACTAGTTTGCAATTTATAATTGTATTTTTATTATTTTTCCATTAATTTGTGTATTTGGGTCTATTAAGCCAAACCGACTTTTAATTTTTATTTATTTCTTTTAGTGCTACTTTTAATATACAGATTATTGCGTTTAAATTTTAATAAATATAAACAATAAAGAGTTCCATTGCTTATCTCAAGAATCATTAAGTCTTAATCTTCTCACAATGAGTTATGCACCTATTTTATAAAGTTAACACCACTAAAAAAATATAACTAAATTAAATTTAAAATTTAAAAATCCCCGACATGTAATTCGCCACTTTGTGGTGGCGATAAATTTATCATAGTGTATATTATTCTACTAGTGAAGCACTTTCATTTAATACCCATATTGAAGGAGTTGTGAAAAAATATGTAATCTCCCATTTTATGGCGGCGTTATTCTTGCACCGATTTCCATCAAACATAGCTAAGAATACCCCGCTAATTCACCTTTCAAACTAAAAAAACAAAATCATAATAGACAGTCATGGGTGATGGGGACTGCTGCCATTTTCAACTAGCCAAGTCAAAACTTGAACTTCAATTTATCCTAAGTTATCTACTCTGTGTAAATAACTCGACTGTTCAATTTTAAGAAGTTCTATTTTTAAACAGCAAACAATTTTGTAGCAGAAAAAAACAAGAAATTGTGTTTTAAAATTATTTTAGCATGTTGTATGTTTTTATGAAAAAAATTTAGGGTTATCTACAGAACTTGGCACCCATTTAGATTTCAATTAATTTTGTCGGTGAAGTTGATCCCATTTTCACATTTATATTTTGATGGGATAATATTTTCTATAGTTTTTATACAACGTTCTTTACAATAATCCTGCGACTTGATAACAGAAATTGTTAACTTTCAAAGTTTCAAAACTTCTCTTATTTAAAAAAAATACATTATATGTATGAGTCTGTGTGAGATGAGACCTTTGCTTTTGAAAATTGAAGTACCTAATTAATGTCAAGTCAACTGTCAAATTTGAAATTACAATTTATAAATGTCAAACTAAATATTTGCCATAGAGTATATTGCTATTTGCCAAAGGATGGCGATTGGCGGTCAACTTTATATTAACTTAAAACTTTAGCGGCAGACAGTTTAAATGATCCCTAAATATAATTTTAATGTTATTTAAAATATAGTGGTAATTTCAGAAACAAGAACTCCATAAAAGGTGTTTATTTTATTTGAAATTAAGCAACAACTATCGTGTGCATTGGCGCTAAAGACGAGATTCAGAGATAAACAACATATAAACTTACCAGTACTCATAAATCATAATGTTCTTAAATGTAAGCAATTTTCTCTTAATTACACTTTCTTTGGCTTCTGCTTCTTATTTTGTATACGATTTATATTACAACAGGAAAAAACAAGAAAAAAATGACATACATGAGGCTATTATGTTTTCATATGGTGCAAAAGAATTAAAAAGAAGTAAACACTCACGTTGTATGATTACGGAAAGCATGGATCGTTTACTATATTATTTGAACTCTCCTCGGCATAGCATAGATATCTGTATGTATGTTATTACTAACATGGACTTAGCAAATGTTATTATTAAGCTGCATATTCGAGGTGTAAAAATTCGTATTATTATTGATGCTGATATGGCTTTTTCAAATGGATCAGCTGTGAAACGATTTGAAAAGCAAGGTATACCAGTACGGTGGATGAAATCTACTAACATTATGCACCACAAATTTTGTTTAATTGATACATTAAATATGGAAAATGTGAAATATACTCCCTTTGTGATGTGTGGATCATTAAATTGGACTAATCAAGGTTTGAGTGGGAACTGGGAGGATGTAGTTGTTACATCGCAGAGAGAAATAGTTGAGCATTATAAGACTGAATTTGAAAAACTTTGGCTCCAATTTAAATCAATTGTATAATATTGAAATATTAATATAGACTCTAATTAAAGTTGTTTTTGTTTTTATTTTTGTTAACAATAATAAGATTTTAACAACATTAATAATGACTATCTGCCTTCTATATAGGCTGAGACTATTAATACGGGTACTGTACGAAAAATTTATAATTATTAATACGGGTACTGGACAAACAATTTATTATTATTCGTACATAAGTCAGACGAATAATTTTATTTTATCAATTAGAGTTTAAAAAAAAAAGAATTTCAAAAAATAATAATTTTATATATATCTTTTTATTGAAGTTTGTATTATTCATATAACAAAAGCTCCTAATATGCAAGAAATTGTTCCTTTTTATAATAATACTAAAGAAAGCTGCATAATTATAAAAAAATCAACATAGAAATATGAAAACATATTGGTTGATGTACATAAGTTGATAGGTCTAAATATTCATTTTACAGGGCCAAAATTTTTAAAGGTTTTATTACACTAAGTTATTTATTGAAGTTTCATACTTAACATTATTTATTGATATGAATATGAAAATCTAACAATTGAAATTAAATAAGTAGTAATTAAGAAAACTAGTCAAAATTTTAAATTGTTGCCTGGTAAAATTTACATCTATCTACATATTCACACCAGCCATAAGTATATATAACCATAAGTATAGTAAGCCATAAATAAAGTGTCTTATATCCATCAACATACATACCAAACTATTGGGTGTAAAGGGCTGATATCTTTACAGCTCATTACTATATGGATATGTTGATTTTTCTGAGTTTTTCTTTCATTATCTAATACCTTTCAACAAGCAATTCTTGTATATTTATTTATTTATACTGGCGATATCGGAAACGGCTCTAACGATTTTGCTGAAATTTGGTACGTGGTGGTTTTAAGAGGCGAAAAATCGATCTAGATTAGTCTTATGTCTGGGAAACGCATGTTTTCGTGTTTTCATGTTATTTATTTATTTATACTGGCGATCTCGGAAACGGCTCTAACGATTTCGCTGAAATTTAGCATGTGGGAGTTTGAGGGGGCAAAAAATTGATCTAGATTAGTCTTATATCTGGAAAATCGCATGTTTTCGAGTTTTCATGTGGTTTTCTTTCGCATTATTCCACGCAAAATATGATCGCTAATTTCGCACGTTCTGGCGTAAACATCGTAGTCAAGGGGCCAAAGAGCAAGATTGACAATATCACAGGTGTCCGCGTCCGAATCCCGGTCGGACTCAAAGTTTTACTTTTGTATTTATTGTTTCTTGTTTTATTTTCTGAAAAAAAAATTGTACTTTTGGCCAAAAACTCGAGCGAAAGTCGGTCGCCCAGGTAATCCCTCCACGACCGCGGACACGTCGGCGTGTTAGGGCGCGTACACATAGAACGTCCGTTTTACAGGTCCGTTTAAACGTATATGTTATTAGCGTATGTAGTTGTATGAGCCAGTTCACACACATGACAGTATACCGGATCTAGTAAAAAATCCCATACACAACAGAAATACTGACCCGTTTTATCGGATCGAAACCGCGCGAGGCATGGCACAGGGGTGCGGGGGTTTTCCTCCAGTTTGTGTCTTTCTTTTTTAATTCCTTTTCTAATCTTTTAAGAAGGTCATCAATAGTAGAAATATAATGATAAAAATAGAATGACGACAGTCATTCGGAAATAAGTAAAAATGCTGCGTCAATATTGCCTCCAGTAGCGACGGATCCGTTAAAATCGGTCCTGTAAATGCTGTGTGAATATTACCTCCAGTAGCGACGGATCAGTTAAAAAGGATCCTGTAAAATCGGACGTTCTATGTGTACGCGCCCTTAGTTAACAATAGGTTTCTTAGAATTTTAATTAATTTCCTAGAAATTTACTTGGAGGTGGAAAAACAACATACAAAAACAACATTGTTAATTTGTAAAAATGGAATAATATATTCAACTATCTCTTGATGCCACTGTTTATACAATGCAAATATGAGATGAGGAGGAGGTATAAGGTAGCTAATTTCATTGAGACTTGACATCTACACAGAAGACATAATGTACAAGTATGAGTACAAACATAAGTGCACTCTATTCCTATCACTCTCACGTTCAGGTATGACAATAATTAAGCACAGAACTGACGAGTGTGAAGACTTTACCTGCTCTACGAGGTACGAGGGTGGAACACTGTCAACTTCCCAATTCCAGGCTGTTACCGAGACTTTTTTGACAAAAAGGCCTATCCAATTCTCCTCTCCATCCAGACTTCCGAATCTGCGGCAGGGCCGGATTATCCATAGGGCGGATTAGGCAATTGCCTAGGGGCCCCGCATCGACTAGGGGCCCAGCTATAGTTTGTCAGATAAACCATAAAAACCATTTGCACCCCTTTTTCCAAGATGACGGCCGTGGGACAAGGGTTGCAACCCCACAAACTTAGATTTAACTTTACACTAACCCCTCCTTAATATCTAAAAAATAAATTGCGTCCTGTGACAATTATCATCCCCAAATGTAACTTTTCAATGAACTATTTTGAATAGGGAAATGTTTTGAACAGTTAACGTTATTAAACCTCTTCCATTATTCCGACACCGAATTAAGTGATAACAAAAGATATACCTACGAACTTGTAATGGGAAACATCCTCTTTTCAAATTTCATGAAGAGGTTATTATAAAAATTAGGGTTTTCTGTTTCAATATTTCAATAAATTTACTAGATTTTTTTTTTAACTTTGGTTTCACTGAATTATTTAATTCAATTCTTTTGTTTATTGGCTTCTGGGCTGTATTTCGAACGGACAAATATCCATTTGCTGGCTAGTAAAATATTTGGCTATTTAACCGGTAAAATATATTTTGAAAGGACAATTAACCCAAGCGGCAAAAATTTTTTTTTATATTATTTTGTTGAATTTAAGCTGACAATTATTAATTTTTAACTTCTTGTTACATATAATTTACCAAAAAGTCAACATTTTTTTGTAACGCTTCGATACTTATTTTCATGGTTTGTACTTTTCAAACCACAGTAGGGTATAAAATCAAAATGGCGCATGTTTATTCAACTTTTCCGTTGACATTGAGCGGTTGATAATAGTCAGCATACTTAAAAATAAATCATCATAATAATTATTTTTTATGAATAAAGTGTGAGTTTATAATAATTTTAGTATAGTATTACAAAAAAACGCTAAGAACTTGATCGGTGGTGATTGTTGTGATTCGAGAATATAGCTCAATAAACTAGGTTATAAAATTTTGTTGCAATTTATAAAATTCATTAAAAAATAATATGAAAAAAGACTTAAATAAAAAATAGAATAATCTCAATAACATTTATAAGTACATAGAATAGGAAAAAAAAGTATTCCTTAAAAAGGACAAAAACTATCCAAAGATTTTTGTGAGAAGTAAAATTATCTAGAACCGAATTTTAAACAACTACGATTAATTTTATACAATAATAAAAATTGTATTGAAAAAAAATTTGTGATAAATCGTTTATATTATTTATGTTAGTTTAATAAATATAAGTAAATAAATTGTTTTTCTTACTGTATATCGATAGTTATTGATCTCAATAAAAAAATTCGATACATCATAATTTGAGTATCTTTAAATACGCATTATTAATTAACAACAATCGGTAATAAGTTCTATGCTAAATTTCGTCATTAATTAGAAAAATTTAACTTATAACAATAATAATAATCTATTTTGTGTAACATTTATGTTTTAAAATATTTAAATAAATTTATTCAGTGTTGGTTATTGAATTCAATGATAATAACAAATAATATGATTCTGAAAAATTAGTAGTCACTTGATCATTTTTAGTTTTCCTCAAAGAATAAATTAGTACTAAGAAAATATTGATATAATTATTACATTCATCTTTCCGTGAAATTTACGAAATTAGAATGTGTTTTGTAATTTTTAATATTAAAAATTACGATTGAAGGCATTTTGTTTAACGAATAAATTCTAACGAATGTTATTATTTTGAAAAGCGTACATTTTATGTAACTGGCTCCAATGATTGTCTTGATTAATGTATAAAAGAAATTTCGCTCACATTCGAAAAAAAAAGCTAGAGATGCACAAGATTCGATCTTGGAAAGTCGCGCTACGAAACTCATGATTTATTGATATTGCCAAAGTTAGTATCTGAAATATTGACAAAATTATACATATAAGCTGGGTATTTGAAGAGCTTTTTAATTAATTATTATTAATATTAATTGACATATTAATTAATTTTTAATAATTTACAACTTTTTGTTTTTTTAATTAATATATATATGGTGTATATAAGCTAAATTCTTATTAGCCTGCTCTATACATATTCTCAACCACGTATCAACCCCACCATGAGGCAAAAAACTATTTTGGTTAATTATCCGGTAAATTACCGACTCCAAGTTGGTAAAATAAGTAAAATGTATATTTTACCGGTAAATTCTCTTCACTACTTCTGGGACTGACATTTAGGCACAATTTCCTTCACCAATGTCGCGTAGAATGGAATTCAATTCATTGTGATATCTTATCTACAAGTCTATGGTGTTTATACTTTAAACTTTTTAGTTTTGTTGGCGGGTAGTTAAAAAATATTCACGAAATTAGAGACCCCAATTTTAGCAGGATTTATCAGAAGAATTGTGACAGTGAATTTCATAATAATGCATGGTAATGTTTTAACTTTTGTCTGCATAACTTCTGTCTCCTTCATAGTCCCAAAACTAATTTTATATATACCTACCTATTTAGATTTCCCATCGCATCCCATTCAAAAATATAACCCACTCATCCAGAAGACGCATCCCATATTCTCAATTGTATTGTGGATTAACATAATGTGCTTTGTAATAACTTATTGTTATGTCTACGTTAATTTCATGTAAGCGAAATGCCAACGGCTAGGTAAAGTGGAGCGTCAGATAATCTTTGGCTTTGTAAATTTTAAGGCTCGCCCACTTCCAAGGATCTTGTTAGGTTTAATAGATATGTACAAGACAAAAATATAAATTAAATTAATGATGAAAGATCTATATAATATCTCAGAGCATTAAAATAAGAATTTAAAGTTACGAAGTGCGTGGCCTCGAAATTTTGACCGCCTTGGAGAACCTAGTAGGGAGCTTCCATAGGTCTTAATCCAGCAGGGTAAGTTCTCTGAATATTTATTATTAAATAAAAAAGAATGGTTCAAATCGCCGGATTATTTTCATTAATTATTAAGCTTTGAACCGTTATTTGAAGCCTATATTAAATATTTGAGAGAAGCTAACTTGATTTCCGGTAACGCGTCAGTTTTTTCTCGAATTCTCATTGGTCGTCCCCCACCATTTTAGTTCCGTCGTTGTACACCAGGTAGCGCTGCGCTCAGAAGATGGCTAGTGTCAGCGCCTTGCTTCATTGGCGATTTGTTTTCCGTAACAGTCGGTCGTGTCTAAAATCTACAAGTGAGTTTATAACACTTATATTTTGGATATGGTATATTATAAGTATATTTTTAAATATTATATATTTTAAACGATTTTATCGTTCGGTATTTATTTTATTTTGTTTTTTAAATAATTTCGTTTTCCTTTAAGTATGAGTGAAGATTCTTCCGAATTATCTGATTCCTCTTCTTGCTCGAGTTCCCATAACGTGGAAACGGTGGCAGTGGAGGTTCATGAGCAGGAGCCGCAACGGGCCAAGTCAAGTGCCCTGCCAACCACGCCTGCTCCTTGCCAAACACAGCGAAAACGGAAGCGTTCAGGCTCAAAGGAGCGCAGTGAAAAAAGGAGAAAACGTCTTGAAGAAACCATACATTATTTGGCTCAACAAGTGGTATACAAAATTATATTGCGAACAGTAGCGTTGCTTTTCAACCTACATGTCACTCTAGTGCTTACGTGCCGGACCAAGGACAAAACATAGATATTGATTCAGATATTAGTGCAGATGTTAGTGGTGAACTATATACCCGTGAGAATTGTACGCAGGAGCCAGTGCAGACTTCTGAATTGCCCGTTAGTTTCAATTTTTCTCTGAATACTTGTGTTGAAAGAACCAACAATACAAAAGTCTTCTCAGGCTCGCGTAAAGTTAATTAATTCAATACAACATTTTGATACTGAAGATTGGAACAACGTACGCTATGCAGAAGTGCAAAAGCAGTACTGTTCTGCTCCGGGTTTTACATATTTAGACACTAATGAAGAAATCAAATCATATGATAAATATTCATCTCTTGCGCTTATTGAGCGGGGTTTCGCTGCCATTACACAGGCTCTTATTATGCAAAATGAAGCCGCACAGAGCGCTTTTACAGCTTTAATTGAGTGGGCAAGTTTCTCAGGTAATAATATCACTGCTAAATCACTGCATGAAAAAGTGAATGAATTATTTATAAAAGGAAATTTTCAAAAAATTAGTAGCGATGTTTTACAGTTAGCATGTGGTCACAGAGCTGAATTAGTACAACAAAGGCGTGATAATATTTTGCGTTCAGTAAAAGATAGTTTTTTGAAGTCAAGGTTACGTAAAATCCCTCCCACTAGTGAGAATCTTTTTAATAAGGAATCTTTCTCTACTGCTATCGAAAAATCTGGGGGTATGTCTAAAGTTTTCTGGCCGCTCCGAGCGCCGACACAAAATAAAGCTGCTGCGCAAGCACAGCCCCATCAGCAGACTCAGGTCACACCTAGTCATGCAATAAGAATGCCTAGTGCAGTTAATTGTTACTATCCTCAATTTGATTATATAAATAGGCCACCTTTCCAAGGTGCCTGGAATACTTTTAATGTTAATAGTCAAGGACGAGAATACGTCCGCCCTACCTTTAGATCAAATCAGCTGCAACAATTAAGGCCCTTTCGTCAAAGGCCAGGATCACAAAATTTTCAAAATTCAGAGATGTACTCAAACGCAGGTAGGGGATCAAATAAACAATCTGTTCAGTCAGGATCACGTCGATCAAAAAGAAAATATTGACTCTGCCCCATTCCACGCGGGTCGCTTACCGGAATTCCTGGAACATTGGAAATACCTACAAGCGCCTCTAGGGCTAATAAAGATTATATAGAATTTTCGCATCCCATTTTTAGCCAGGCCTCCATTAGTAATACCAGACCTAGTCTCCTATCGTTTTCAAACTCTAGTATCGAAAGACATGGACTTAATTATAGACCAATTAATGAAAATGGGGGTCATAGAGCCGACTCCGCTCAGCCCCAGTTTTGTGTCACAAATATTTCTAATACCGAAGGACGACGGATCCATGCGTCCAATATTCAATTTAAAAAGCCTAAACAATTATGTGTTTCTGGACAAATTCAGGCTCATAAATGCGCACAAAATAGTGAACTTTTTGCAACCAGGGGATTGGTTAGCCAAGATAGATTTGTCCAATGCCCACTTCCACCTACCTGTGTCCAAAGCACATCGATGCTTTCTCAGAGTTATTTACAAAGGTCATCTATGGCAAATGACGTGTCTACCTTTCGGCCTAGCATGTGCACCAAAAATTTTCGCATCTCTTACGAATTGGGTGGCACAAGTTCTTCGGGGAAAATGCATTCGAACTGTGGTGTACCTAGACGACTATCTATTAGCTTGCCAAGATCCTCTGCTCCTAAAGCAACAAGTTCGGGATGCTCTGAGCATTCTACAGAAACTAGGTTGGCAAATAAACTTCCAAAAGTCGGTCCTAGTACCACAAACCAATGTACAATATCTGGGAATTGCTTGGGATACTCATGCAAATCTAAAAAGTTTACCGATAAAGAAGTGCGGGGATCTTCTAACAAAGATTTTGACAATGTTAAAAAGAAAAAGGGCCAATCTAAAAGAAATTCAAAGCTTAGTGGGGTCAATAAATTTTGCCAGTTTTCCAGTGTACAGGGGACGCTTACATCATCGAGCTCTCCTGAAACATTGCCAGCAGTTACTGCGTTGCAATCCTCGGCTGCAATTTCCGATACCAACCGCTGCCTTGAAAGAGTTGGATTGGTGGAAACTCAACCTGACTCGGCCCTCGCTCCTTCATTTCCCTCCCATTTCGATTACCTGGTTACAGACGCCTCAGAAGTAGGATGGGGAGCTCAGCTGAACAATCTGAGGTTGTCGGGCCAATGGACGCTAGAGGAAGGGCGTTTACATTCCAATCAAAGAGAAATGCGGGCTGTGTGGTACGCATTAAAAGATCATTGTCCGCACCTTGTGGGATCTTCGATGCTAATACAGAGCGACAACCGCACAGTTGTTGCGTACTTGCGAAACGAAGGGGGTACAAAGTCGGGGCCTTTGATGGAAATTACATACAAGATTTTCACTTTATTGGATCGGTTCAATATTCACGTAGAAGCCCATTATATTCCAGGCCGCTACAACGGAGAAGCGGATCGGTTGTCACGTTCAATTCGTCCGCCAGAATGGCACCTTCTACCCACAATTACGTCCATAATTTTTGCGAGATGGGGCCTTCCAGTAATAGACCTGTTTGCATCAGCGACAGCTCACGTTGTCCCAGTTTACGGTACGCTGGACGTGAGAGACCGGCAGGCACATCTGTACGACGCGTTCAGTCAGGAATGGCACTTCTCACTAGCATGGGTATTCCCGCCTCCATTTCTAATTCCCCGGGTATTACAGCACCTCAACTCGGCAACGGGAATATATTTGGTTGTAGCACCGAGATGGACCAAGGTATTTTGGCGACCAGACTTGAAGAGTCGCGCTCTGAATCCTCCTTTCACAATACGGAACTTGGGACTAGTTCTGATCGACACAGTAACGAATCGGCCACCTCCACTGACACCAGACATGTATTTGGAGGTATGGAGATGTGGGGGTGGACGGAATATCTAACAGGTTGGTCGGATAGGCAGAGACAATTTTTACAGAAAAGTTGGCGGAATTCTACTTTAACTATCTATAAAGTAGCATGGCAAAAATAATGCGCGTGGGCGAAGGCGAACTTTGTCTCCATCAGTCAACCCACTGGAGCGGACTTTGCTAGGTATCTTATAGACCTACACCAAGTACAAGGACTGGCGTATAAAACCATTTTAGTCTATAAATCTGCTGTTTCAGTTTTATGCAACCCTAATACAGAATCCCGTTTGAGTTCACATGTGTTGGTAAAACAAGCTTTGAAAGCTATTTGTAATAGTCAATCTGTCAATAATAATAAAACAAAGGCTCCAATATGGGATACAGATGTACTGACAGATTGGTTACAAAATAATTTGCCAAACACGAATAATTTATTTGAATGTTCTGCGCGTGCAGCTGTGTTATTATTATTGTGCTCTGGCCGTCGTGTACATGATCTTACATTACTGGATATTGAAGACAACAATTGCTTGTTAAAGGACGAATCAATAATTTTCTGGCCTAAATTTGGGTCCAAAACTGACACGGTATGTAATAGACAGTCAGGATGGCGTATTTATAGAAACAAAGATAATCAATCCCTAGACCCATATTTTTGGATACAGAAAGTTATTGAGTTGTCTCAGTCTAGACGTGCAATCTGTAAAAAGACTAGCTTATTCTTAACAATTTGTGGTCAACCAAAAGAAGCTTCGAGTACTAATATTGGTAATTGGGTTAAGAAGATTTTATGTCAAGCAGGTATCAAAGCTAGCCCAGATAGTTGTCGACCCGCAGTCGCTTCAAAAAATTGGATCCAAAATTGTCCGTTAGATGACATACTTGCACGAGGGAATTGGAGATCAGGAAATACTTTTCTAAAATATTACTGCAGAGAAATTCAAAGTTATTCATTACCGTCTAGCTCTAAAGGTGTATTACAATTATTTACTCCTGTGCCTGATTGATTTTAAACATTGCTTGAAATTTGAGTTTAATTTTTATTATAGATTTTTTGATTAGTTTAATATATCTGTTGCTAGACATGAATTAAATGTTTTTATTTGAACAGTTCATGTTAATTTATCGTTATTATTTTTATCAAATTGTGATTAGTACTACATAGGAATGATTATATCATAAAGTATGTGGTAATTAAAGTTCATTTATTTACAATAAATTGATAAAAATACATGGTTGTTCCTCATTTAACTTATGTCACATTTCACTTCACTTACTATTTGTTTAACTGCTGTTGGTAATTTTAAAAATTATCCCAATTGGTTTAACATAGTATCACATTGGCTTTTCATGTACACCAGGCGATAACAGACAGATCTCAATTAGAAAGATTAAAAGAATTAAAGATTAATATAGGCTTCAAATAACGGTTCAAAGCTTAATATCAGCGTTTTACCTACCAATAAAACGCTTATTAAGCGATAACCTTATTTGAAGCCTATTATATCAATTCTGCCTGGTGAAAATTTTCATATATATATATTTGAGATCCAATGAAGCAAGGCGCTGACACTAGCCATCTTCTGAGCGCAGCGCTACCTGGTGTACAACGAGGGAACTAAAATGGTGGGGGACGACCAATGAGAATTCGAGAAAAAACTGACGCGTTACCGGAAATCAAGTTAGCTTCTCTCAAATATTTAATATAGGCTTCAAATAAGGTTATCGCTTAATAAGCGTTTTATTGGTAGGTAAAACGCTGATATTATTTTCTTCTCATCTTCTTTTATCATATACTACTGCATTTCAATTTTCAAGTGAAACTTCAAACCATGGATGACAAATAAACTTGCTTCAAACTTGAAACTACTGTAGCACTGTCACAAGCACAACTCAAAAATGTCATTGCTATGTGGGAAAATAAAACAAAGATTATTCCAAATAATATCTTGTTAGAGAGGTAATAAGGATTATTATAGAAAATACACATTCCTTTACTCAGATTTAAGATTCTTAAGATTAGCTCCATAAAATAATCAGTCATAAGTCATAACCGTAACATTGTATTGGGGGCAAAGACCAATGTAAAGTTATATTATGTGATAAGCAAAATTATAAGTTTGTTTCTTATGTAATAAGAGTTATTCAGATCACTTAAAAAATGGTACGAGGTATTGTATCTGGAAGATTAGCCCTTGTTACAGGTAAGAAAACTTATTAAAATTCTTAGAATTATAATAAAATTAGATTTATAATGAAAATTATAAAGATAATATTTATATCATAAAAGATGCCGCAACTTACATCATATTTAATACTGTTTGTATTAACATATAAAATATACTATATGTAAGTTCTATTTAAAATTTAGTTGTCTACTAAAAACCACACAACATTTCCAGGTGCTGGTTCTGGTATAGGTAGAGCTGCCTGCCAAGTTTTATCAAGAGAGGGAGCTACAGTTATTGCTGCAGACAAGAACTATGATGCCGCATTGGAAACTATACAAAAACATACTGCCTTGGCATCAGGTTCTAATGGTAGATAATACTTTTGTCCTCTGTTCTAGTAATCAAAATAATAATATTCTAATTATTGTTTGAATTTACAGATAGAGGATTATTATTATATATAATAATTAAAGAACTTATTTTAATGATTATAAAATTATGTTGTAGTTTTTGTTATTATTTTTTTAAAGCAACTACACTTCAACTTACTTTTTGAATACTTATTTATAGATGCGGGTGACCATATTGCTATGGAACTGGATGTAGCTGACGCAAAGTCTGTACAAAACCTTCTTAAAAATGTAATAGCACAGTATAAAAATCCACCAAAAATAGTTGTAAACTCTGCTGGAATCACAAGAGATAATTGGTTACTTAAATTATCGGAAGAAGACTATGATAGTGTACTTAATATTAATTTGAAGGTAAGGTTGCTTAGATAATAATAGTTATATCAAATAATTAAAGATTATAATGTGTTAAGTAAAAACCCACTCTTTTAAATAAAAACTGGTATTCTGAGGCTTATTTACATTCCAAGTTAAATATAGCACAAAAGTTTTATATGATTATGTCTAATTTTCATATTTCTTTTTGTTTCAGGGAACTTTCCTCGTAATGCAAACATTTGCAAAGGCAATGACAGAAACATCAACCCCAGGCTCTATAATAAATATATCAAGCATAGTGGGAAAATATGGGAATATTGGTAATGAAATATATACTTATATGCACATAAAAAGGCAGATAACATCTGCAACAAAAACAATGCGATTTCACATATATTTTAATATAATATTAATTATAATGGTTTTTATTGTAGGTGTTGATTTAACATGATGAATTGCTTTATTGTCCGAGTGTTTGTCAAGGTTTCATTTTTGTTTAGTAAAGTTTTTTAGAGTCATTTTGTAACAAATTAAATCTATACAGATAAATTAAAAATAACCGCTTTTTACTAAATACTTGTGAGAAAAACACATTTTTTTTAAATTGTCTGTTTGTTCCGGCTAATATCCAAAACAGCTGGATAGTTTTTGACGCGACTTTCACTAGGAGATAGCTGATGTTATAAGGAGTAACTTAGGTTACTTTTATTTTAGAAAAAGATTTAGGGCATCTGAGCAAAGCGAGGATAAGTCTCTAGTTGATATAAATAAATTCTTAGCTTAAAATAAATTAAAAGAGAAAACATTAATAGCTAAATAACAAGTACATTGGAATATCATAATAATATTTTTAATTTTCTTTCCATTTCTTTTAGGTCAAAGTAATTATTCAGCAAGTAAAGCAGGAGTGGTGGCAATGACACAAACTGCGGCTAAAGAATTAGGGAAGTTTAATATAAGGTTTGTATGCTTAACTTTGGTGTAATTAAATAGTATTAAAATTAATCAAAAGAAATATTTATTTATTTATGTACGAAAAATATATATACATATAAAATCAGATATCTTGTGTACAAAGGTTGACTTATATCACTAAGAGAACCCTTGAGCATGAGAAAATAATAATGATGAGATATAGTTGAAAAATAATGAGGTGTATATTTTGTACCATTTAAATATGGATTTTTTACTAGAATGATAAAATTTTGATTTTTTTTGAAGTTTCCCGTTCGTTGATTGTTATAATTAATAACATTCTTCATATAATTTACAGAGTAAACGCGATTCTACCAGGATTTATTGACACACCTATTATAAAAACAGTTCCTGATAAAGTGAAGGAACATATGCTTAAATTAGTACCATTGGGAAGGCTCGGTGAACCCGCTGGTAAAAATATTTTTTTACTGTTTCAAAAACGAAGCTCTTTTTTTATAGATATAATATACTGATGAAGCTAAGGCAACAAATGGTTTCTACAGCAAAAACATCTTTCTATAAAAACAAAGACTTTTTTTTATAACATTAAACAAAGATTTTTTATTTCTTCTAATTTTAATGGTTACCACAGCTACCATTTCCTGTTCTAATTTCTATTCAGCCCTATTTTAACGTCTCACTGTTGGGCACAGGCCTCCTTTCAATACAAGAGGGATCAATCATCAAGCCGTAGTCCACCACGCTGGCCAAGTGCGGGTTGGCGGACTTCACATGTCTTTCGAATACTTGCTAGGTTCTGTCACACATGCAGGTTATCTCACGATATTTTCTATCACCGTAAACTGAATGGTGATCATGTTGAAAATGATTGACACATGAAAATATCAGAGTTGCGAGACCTGGGATTTGAACCCGCTTCATTCGGTTTCCCAAGAGAGTGCTTTACCACTGGGCTACCACTGCCATACCAAAAACTCATAATTAATACCTTATAATCCTTTTTTGCGATATTTTAATACTTAATTGTTTTTTTTGACTACTAAAATTTGTGTAATTTGGTAATTGATTTTCAGAGGTTGCTGAGGTTATCACATTTTTAAGTTCAGATAAAAGTTCCTTCATTACCGGTGCAGCTATTGATGTCTCCGGTGGATTTTGAAATGCTCATCCTTGTTTATACTTAATTTATTTATGTATTGACTACTGTGATAGTTTTTGATACTTTTTGGATATTGGGAAATATGTATGTGCCTTATAAATCATTATTATATTTTTATGTAAATAAAGACTGTTTATTATATTGAAGTTTTAGTTTTGTTTATAAATGTTGTTCCAATTATTATTAAAATACACAACCAGTCATGAGGACTGCCGACAGAAGTGAAAACTTAAAACTATAAACAAACAGTTGTTATTTTTGGACATTCAAATTAATTGTTTAATCCAAAATTAAAATTTCTTTGTTTACATTTATCTGGTTTTGACATCTATCGGCACTCTGAGTGCTAGCGTTAACACGTCACGTGACCATGTCGATGACGACTTACATAAATTTACTATTTTCGCTATCCAAACCTGCCTCTAGAAGTTTTCACTTCAAAAACATATTCTTAAAATACATTTTTCATTAGAGAGGATGTAGAGTTTTGATATACCAAAATAGTCATTAAGCCTTATAAATAAATAAAACACTAGCATATACTAAGTATAGCAAATACTTATACTTAGGTTTTGTTAGGTTAAAAAAAATATATTGAAGGTCAAAAACAAAGAATAATTGTAAACACTGTTTATCACGACCAGGGTTTCCAAACATTTTTTAATCGTAGATTCTTTCAGACTGTTATTCAGAGACAGAAAGTAACTTATTTGAGATACATTTCTAAAATGCTCTTGAGTGTAACTAACTCAAAAAGAAAAACACAATATTTAAAAATTAATTTGTTTTTTGATTTGTCATGGCATTGGTTTTGAAATATATTCTACATTTGTATGTGCAGCTTGTAGACCTAAAGGAAATACTAGACATAATAAAATTCTGAGTTGATTCTGAACATGAAATATTTTTTTGAAAATCTTATTGAAATAGTCATTATTATAGATAGAGCGGCCAAATGTATAGTTTTTAGAATTTTCGTTTGTCCGTCTATTTAGGAACGCATCACGAGAAAACCACTGGAGAAATTTTGATAAAGTTTTGGTATGATGATAGCTGGTTATTCGGGTTAACATTTAGGATATTTTTTACTGTAGGAAAATATCTCATCTCTGAAAAATCTATACTAAAAATTAAAACGACTAGGGATGAACCTGAGCGGAGCAAGGGTGAGTTGCTAGTCTTACATAAAATAAAAACAATAAGATCAAAATCATACTATTATTTATTTACTTTTCTTAGCTTTTAACTTATTACTCTTTAAAGCTGCTTTATTCCTTTGTCTTTTATCTTTCATGAAGGTTTTATATTCTGTTTTCCTCTTATCATCTATGATCTCTTTATATTTCCTTTTATTGTATTTTTGGAACTCTGCATCGGCTAGCAGTTCATCAACCATGGTTCTCTTTCTTTCTTTCCTAGTTACTCTCTCATTTACATGATCCAAAGCAGCATCCATAACTCGACCAACCTGTGTGTTTATAAAATGTAACAATAATTTAGAGTAATCTACACTACTATTATAAAGAGAAAAGATTTGTATTTTTGTATTTTTGTATGTTTGTAACAAATAAACTCAAAAACTACTGGACCTATTTAAATAAAATTTGGTAAGAAGATACTTTGAGACCCTGGGAAGGACATAGGATATATTTTATTACAGAAATCATCCCTTAAGGGAGTGAAAATAGGGATGAAAATTTGTATGGGGAATACTGCAATACCTGCAAAGCGAGGGTGAGTCGCTAGTAACTAATAAGTACAGTCAAACATGAGTGCATTGAACTTGGTAAGTGAGAAAACTCTGTAAGTGAGAGTAATTGCCAGGTCCCGTCATTTTATCCCTCTAAAACCTCTATAACAAAAACCACTATAAGTCGTTTTTAATTTGTGGACCTCTTACAATTGATGCTGACTGCTACTTGCCTGTACTTCAATAAGTGACAGTCGAGCTAATTTAACACTTGCTATTTATGGCTTCAATTTTGTGGAACTAACATTATTTTTGTTTTATTTAAATATCGAGGAACTAATAATAATAATAAGTATTTTGTGTAATATTAGTTGTAGTCAAATTCTGATGAATAATACTGATACAATACATACATGTTTATCACAACACATTTGCTTTTTTTTTGCAACTCTATAAATGAGAAAGGCCACTTTTGTACTTGTATAAGCTGTCGGGTTAGTGAGAAATCTCCATAAGCACAAATAAGATTGTGGTTGCTTCAACTCTCACTTATCCAGATTTTACTGTACTTCGTTTATTTATTAGTTCTTATTATGTATATAACCTCTGATTAAAAATATAAAACATTTTTATAAAATTACACCTTAAGGTGTGCTAGCAGTATGTTTGCCAATGTCTTCTGCCGTAGGCATAGTCATTGGATAAACATGAGTCCAATATATATGTAAGTTTTAGAAATATAATCTTTGAAATTATCTAATTACAATAGTAACAATTATTTTGCTAAAAAGAAACAATATGTACAATACATACCTGGAAATACTTTGGCAGAACTTCCATATCATTCTTTTTATAGAAATGTTTTGGATCCATAGCTGATCTCATTTTGAGAACTTGTAAATCATTTTTCAGTTCAGGTGTCATTTCTGGAGCTTTCATGTTGAACCATCCTGGTCCTTTAGTCTTTTCTCTTTCTTTCTGTGACGTAATATAACAATAGATAAAAAAACTATTCATGAACTCAATAATCAATATTTAGACATTATAGATACTGTATATTTAAAATTTGTGACAATAATAATTACTTTTTTATGATGTAATAGTTGAACTCTTAGTAAAATATTAAAGATTGGGAACTAATGATCAAAATCCTAATGAAATAAAAGTGAAATTCAAACTAATAGCATATATAGATACCTTAATTGGCAAACCAGCTAACTCCATATGAGCAAAATTTTCAGGAGACATTTAAAACTTTATATTGTTTGTACACTACCTATTAAAAAATCTAAAATACCGTTGGTAGATAATATTGTAAGATGGTATTTTTGATACTGTAAAATCTTACTAAAATAATCCTACTGAATTACAGTTGTGTACAAACTGAACCAAAGAAATATTTTTTAACGAAATGTGGTATAGGCTGGTTTGCCAATTAAGGTATCGATATCCGAAATTAATACAACAGACTACTTTTTATTGATATATGTACATACCATATAAATGGAGTAGACAAAAACTAGTAAATAAGAATATTCATATAAATAAAAATAAATGTATGTACAAATACTACTAGCCTTGCGCATTGCTCTTAATTTTCTGTCACTAACATCATATTTTGGTAACCTATGCTCTTTTTCTAATCCAGGTACGAGAACTGACTTTTTCATTTCCTTTTCAACATCTACTCCTCCAAGGTTTGACTTTAGTTTTCCTGTTTCTATGTCTAATTGCTCAAAGTGGAATAATCGTTTTTTCTTTTCTTTTTTTATAATTGACTGATTCCACCCCATTTCTTCGAAGAATTCATCAAAAACATCGTCAATTTTTAAACCTTTAAGCTTTTTCTGAACTTCTTCTTCAGCTAGCTCCAGCTCATCTAGTTCTTGTTTTTTCTTTTCAAATAACTCTAATATTGCCTCATTCCTTTTTTCATTTTCTAAGAAAAAAAGCACCAAAGTCAATATCAACAAAATATAATGAATGCAGCATTTATATTTAAACTATCACTAACCTATAAAAAGTTTGTCGTCTTGATCTAATAACTCATCTTTTCCATGAAGTTCTTCATTTCCAACTGTGTCTATTATAAAATCCATAATGGTAATATTTTGATCCCAATTTTAAACATACATAGTTGTGTAAAATAAAAATGTACTTGTGTATTTTTCTTGTAAACAGCTAAAACGCACGTGTTGACATTTGTCAATTAGTAATGAGTAATAATGACGTTGACAGATCGACAGTACAGTTTTTTTTAAATAAATATAAGTTCAGAAATATACAATGTTAGCTGTTTAGGAATGAAACTTACGTAACAATACAACATTATCTAATACCTTTAAACGAACAATTCTTGTATATTTATTTATTTACTTATACCGACGATCTCGGAAACGGCTCTAACGATTTCGCTGAAACTCGGTATGTGGGAGATTTTCGGGGGCGAAAAATCGATCTAAATTAGTTTTATCCCTGGAAAAACGCGTGTTTTTTAGTTATGCGGTTTTATTTCGCATTATTCCACGCAAAATATGCAGCACATGCATCGTGATCAAGCGGCCAAGGCGCTAGATTGACAATCACAGGTGTCTGGGTTCGAATCCCGGTCGATACAAAGTTTTTACTTTTGTTTCATTTTATTCTGGCCAAAAACTCCGAAAGAAGCTCGGTCGCCCAGGTACTGATATTAATAATAATGATGATGTTCTCCTGACCGATTCCGGCCACGGCTTCCAATCTCATTGAGACTAGCCAACTGCGCAGGAGATATTATAGTGCACAAGTGTACGAGCAGACACAAGTGCACTCTCTATTTCTGTCACTCTCATACTCTGGTGGGACGACCACTCGACACGACCAGTGAGAGTTAACGGCTTTACGTGCTCTCCGAGGCACGGGGGTGAAACACCGCCAACTTCCCAACTCCGGGCTGTTACTGAGGCTTACTATAAAGAAAGTATCAATAACTAGACTTATCCCGACCCGGCACTCAAACCCAGGACCTCGGGGTGTGCAGCCGTACATGCTAGCCACTACACCACCGAGGTAGTTGATTAATGATAATGACTGATACATAAATCTACAAAATTAGACTTCACTTTTAATTCTTATTGGAACTAAATTAATTTAAATATGTATTTAGAAAGTCCACTAAGTAAGAGAGAGTAAGGTAAGATACCTTCGAAACAGATTCTGATGCACTTACATTTTACGTTATTAAAATATATTAGAAGTTAACTTAATAACTTACAATTAGTACCTATAAATGTTATTTTTAAGAAATTGTAAACCGTCTCTAAAAGTTCCGTTAAAATGGGTCCAGCCATGGGAACAGTTACAAATCAAGTCCCGCTCTAACTTCTAAATATTTTTCGTGACCTAATTATTTTATTGGCCGACTTTAAAAAGGAGTAGGCAGGCAATTCAATTATGGGCTTTGTTTTGTGTGGAATATGTAATAGTATCGCGATATTTTTGCGAGCTAGAAACTGATTGTAATTATTCTTTTTTAATGAATAAACTTCACTTATATTTTTGAAGAAAAGAAAAGTGGGAGTTTTGAAGTCAGTATAACTTTTTAACTAAAAATTATTATTTTGTGTTTTTAATGTGTAAATTTTATATTGTGTAAATATCACAAAAAACCCTTCTTTAAACTTTTTGAAATGTATTATTCGTGGTGACTATTAATATGTCTTGATGGTCTAGTGGCTGGCATGTACGGCTGCTGATTCTGCGTTTGAGTCCAGGGCCGGGAGTCTGGGAGAGCACGTAAACTCAGAAACTACTTGAGGAATAAAAACTGAAACTATCTATTCGTACATTTGCAATTAGTATGAATTTAATTACACGTATTTAAATAATGTGTATTAACTACATACATACCTACAGAAATACTAATTATGTTTATCATCTGGTATTTTAGTACATATAGTTAACTATAGATGGTAGATAATACATATAGTATAGATACAGTTTAATAGAGAAAACTTCATTAGATATTACATCTACATCTATACATATAATAAAATTGTAACTAAGCCGAATCTGTACATTAAATAGTTTGTGGAAAATCTTATTTGAAATAAAGATTATTATCGATGCAGAGGCCGAGTCTATAGTTTTAGAATTTTTGTCTGCCTGTCTTTTTTTTTATTTTGATGAAATTTAGCATGGTGATAGCTGGTTATCCGGGTTAACATATAGGATACTTTTTACCGCGGGAAAATGTCTCATTTCTGAGAAAAAAATAGAAAAAATGCAATGTAAGAGTATACTAATATTATGTAAAACCTAAGAATTTGGTTTTTGGTCATCTAAACGCGGGCGGAGCCGCGGGCAATGCTAGTAATATATAAAACAAAAAAATCTAATTAGAACTTGTAATCATTGTCAAAAAAATCGTAATCTTTTTAAGTACACTGTATAGAGGACGACATAAAAAACTTTAAAAGAGAGTATAATACATTTTAAGTATTCAAGGTTAACAGGGACGTCTTGAGAAGTTCCCGAGGGAGCCTCATTATTGTCACAGGTTTCCTGAAAGCCTCTCAACGGTTGATCGTTCAGCCACCACTTTGAAGGGACCAAGGCTACATAATGTTATTCTCATTATATTTCATCGCAATACTTTATAAGCAAAAGGGTAATGTATTATATAATATATTACATATTTTTTATTTCAACAAATATTGTCTCGTGAGTTATCTGAGCAATATGGCTAATATTTTTTGTAAATATTTTCATTTAAACATTTTATTAACTTTTCCACTTTTAAAAAAGAGTTTTCAACTTTTAAAAGACACAAATACTCGTATATTGCTCTCTTAAAATTTAATTTGAATTAATAAGTGTAAACACGCTCTTGTCCATTTTTATCTTTGAAGGATGGAGCTGCAGGTTTTTACTAGTAATTTATGCCATATCATTTGTCTCTATTATATTTAGTAGTACCTATTTAAATTATGTAGAGAAATAACCTATAACACTGTATCACGAAGTCAGAACAGGATATGAGAAGTTATAACCAAAATTACAAAGTAAATGAAATACAAGTAGAAGTCCTGACCACTAGCCTAAACCTTTAAGCTAGATAGTACTAAATTAAACAATAAATATAAATACCTCAACCGTAAGTAAGTGATTTTATTTTACTTCTAAACGTAGAGTCCCTATCATCTTTATTATTTGCCTTTGAGCGTGATAATAGGAACCAATGGGTTGTATGCGATTAATACGACGATTACACTAAAGGTTAGTCGGCCGGAGGGGCAATAAAGCCTTCCGCTTTGTTTCTTCAAAACTACCCACAATTTATAATCGAGCGAGATAAATTTGTAACAATCTCTTGAATTAGTGAGGCTCAGAGCACTTCTTAGTAATTATGGAAGACTTACTGCCTTTGGTTTCGCTCTTCTGTATATTTTTATTAAGGTCTCAACCACTGAATTCCCTGCTTTTTATTCCTTGCATTTTTAATCACTACCTACCAGGTCTTATATGTACTTATCTGTCATCTTTATCTCAACAGATTGATAAAATTGAAGCTTCTGTTTGTAATGTCAAAATAAAAGCTTTTTACTAAATGCATATGAAATTATATAGGGTACTTTTAAGAAAAACACAATTTTAAATTTTTTTATCTGTTTGTCTGTCTATTCCGGCTAAAAAATAAGGGTTCCGTTCAAAAAAATTAAAACGTACTAGGTACGCACCAGAGCGAAGCGATGGTGAGTCGTTAGTGGTATAATAAATGAACACGATCCAGTTTGCTGTATTTATTCTATTCCATTGATATGAAACAGTGAACTTGAATGATGCGCAATTAAGCAGCCGGACAAACAATTATAAACGTGACCCAAATGCGCCTCATGAATTTAATTTAAAATTAACCCAAATTATAGCTTCTAGATGCTACCTAATACAGTAGAGTATACAAAACCTTAAATTTTGTATAGTCTATTTTTGGATATGTGACGGATCCATTTTCTTAGTTAACATATTGACGGTATTTTTTTTCCTGTTATTTTATGTTATCGCTATCATTTTTTGTGTCTTGTTCGTAATGAAAAGTCAATATATTCAACTGGAGACTTAGTAAATATTGATAAATATTCCAAACTATATATCAAACGGATTTGAAATTAAAAGTAAAACCTCATATTATTAAAAAAGATAAATTCATAATATAGGACTGAAATGTATGTAAAATAAGATTAGAAAAAATGGAAAAATGTGATCAATTCACATTTTTCATTTGCTTGTATCGATAGAGAATTTAAGTTAACCTGAATTAAATATAAAGTATACTCCTTAAAAACCATTCGCCTACTAAAATAGGTAGGTACCGAGGTAGTCGACCAAAAAATACCTACAAAGATTACTGTGCATAGACTATATTCCTATTCCATAGAATCTCAAAAATGTGGCATTATTCCATGAGACCTTTTTCATTAGGCGTTTTAAATGTTCCTCGTTACTCCAGCTACAGTCTAGGATAATTTTATAGGTAATTTATGTATCGGCCCAGTCAGACTCGTTTATAATTTACACAAATATAAGAATTCGATTTTTTGTATTTTTACAGTTCGTGGAATCTCTTCTGGACCTCGCGAACAAGCTGGCGGTTTATCCACTCGCCCAAATAGTATATTTATTGGAGAAAATATCTGCACTAACTTCCGCGAGCTTTTCCCGTCGAAAGCTTCAATCTTTGTGTCTCTTACTCTAGCTTACGTAAAGTGATTTTATGCAACTTCTGTTTCACTGATCCCCATGGGGACCATTTGATAAACCATGATTATAATAAAAAGTAGCTTAAATCAACTTACGAATTATCAACTATTCTCACGACAAAACATATCGCTCCATTGCTTCATTACCACATGAAAGAATGACAAATCAACAAATACACTCGCGCATTATATTTGATGACGAAGGATAAGAATTTTTAATGGGATATTTGTCCTTGTCCTTTTAACAGCGGTTGAATACTTCCTTGAAATCTATTCGAGTGAATTACCTCGCATAAATTTACTTTGAATTATATTTGGGAGCGTCATAAAATGTAAGACAAAGGAAACTGTCTCCAAATTGA